GACCTTGGTAACAGGCTTTCAGAAGAAGAATGGAAAGAGATTTTTCTTTGTTTGAAAGATGCAGCTACATCAACAATGCCAGGATTTATGAAGGTCTTGAGAACCATGAGTAATATTGAGGTGCTCCATGTGTCTCAGTCGTCTACTGACTTGGAAAGTTCTTCCGATCATGACTTGACAAACAAAGACTTTGATGATGACAATCTGCAAACAGCCACATACGTTGTGTCAAGAACAAAGAATCATATCGCCATGCAACTACTTATTGTACAGGTTTACTTCTTACTCTTTCTGCTCTAAACACAAGTTAACATTTTAAATTTAAGCTCCAAATTTCCTAGTATTGGATCTCCAGCTTCCACTGAATTTTGGGCTTTCCTTTTCCTTTCTTCTCTCTCTCTCTCTCTACCTCTACCTCTGTCTATTTGTCTATATCTCACTCAATTTTTGGCTTTGGTATAAAGTCTTTTGATTGCTTTTGTCTCGTTTTGCTTAGAACTAAATTGAGTTGCATTATTCATTGCTATCACAATGATTCTCTCTCTTCATTTCTCTTGTTGTGTCCCCTCTGATAGTGTATTCACTAAGAGTCTTTATGTTATAGACATACTTTTTGTAGTACATTTATTTCAATAAATTAAGACATTTCATATTTCTTTCTTTCTGTAAGAATATAATAATGTTCTTAAAATGTAAATGCAACTTTATATGATATCAAAATAGTGACTTGATATTAGATCTTATTTAGTGTTATTTTTAAAATGTTTTTAGTCAAATATCAATATTAAGGCAATATAATATTATCTAGTTATGTGTGACCGTATTTTCTCTCAAGATTACTAGCATATTGATGGCAAAGAACTCTAGTAGATGATTCATGTGGATATTTAGTTACAAAACCCATCGCTATCACTCAATTTTCACGTCTCATCCGCATCATTTTTCTTATTTCCATTCCTTCTCACATATACCTTGTCATAAGGTAAAATTCTGCTGCTAGGGGCAATGACCTTAACTGCCTCACTATCTCCCGGGGTCCTAACAACTGACTATGAAACCATAGGTCCAGTTACTCAAAATTCGTGACATATTCATAATTAATAATAAAAAGTTACAAGTCTTGTGTAAAACATACAAGTAAATGGCAAGGAGAGAACTTAGACAATGTAATGAGTTTGGGTCTTCGGGAGATGGATGACAAATAATAATCAAGACTTGAGAGAACAAAAATTAGGACATGGAGTAAGACAAAATGAAATAAAAATATAATAGAAAGTCAGCAACTAACAATACACAGAAAAAGAGCAGGAAAAAAAGGAAAGGAAAAGGAGAGAAGAACAGCAACATGAAGGATAGTAAGAATGAAAGAGAAAACAAAGCACTTGATCATAAATGCAAAGTCAGTGGACAGAGAGATTGGGTTCACCAGAATACACTAGATGCTGACTGGAAAACACCAGGTTGTGATTGGGAAGTCTCCAAAGAGCAATAGGTTGATGAGTCTGCACAGTAACAAAGGGTCTGAGAGAAGTGTATGAAAATAAGAAGAGGCACTAAGGATTTTTTTACTATTCTTCTAAACCCTTTTGAAAATATTATTTTGACCCAAATCCCCCAAAATATTCCCAACTAATGCTATATAAATCTAGGGCATATTTGGGTTTGAATGCCATCACAATAACGGCCCCAGTGCACACAAAACACACTGATTTTCACCACTTTAGGGGCTGTTACAGCCACAACACTTAAACATAGCAGCAACATGAGAATAGCATCCAGCCACTGTGATGCTATAGCAGCGCTATTGCACACTATTGATAATCTAGATATAAATAAGGGTTAGTAATTTTACTTTTATCATCATATTGTAACACATTATACCATATAAATTATAAAAGCAGTATCAATCTCAGGATTCACTCTTTTCTTCCCTCTATACATAAAACCCTATAATTTCATAGCACTTTTGTAGCTTTGCGTTGTTGATTTTTTCATTGATGTTGTTTAATATTCTTTTGTGTAAATGAATTCCTTCTTTTATTAAATAAAAAACTACTCAGTCTCTCAACTTAGAGGGAAGAATTTTGATTCTTGATTCCTCTGGTCCTTGCTTGTGCAAGAGTTTCTTTTAGTTACTTTGCCAATTATCGTTTAGGTCGGGAGTTCCATGTCCTTGTCTACTTCCCATACCTATTCTTCCTGTGAAATATTCAATCACTTTTAAGTTTCTCCTCTGAATGTATTCATCTTGATGATGATATCTTTGTGTTTTGATCACAGGTTTCGACTGATCTGTTCAAAAAGCACCAGCAATGCTTATCAGCAGCCAACATCAAAGTCCTTATTGAATTATATTCATCCATTGCTTTGCATGCTCGCCAGATGAACAGCGAGTCAATCCTACTGAAGAAATTGCAGAAAGCTTGCTCCATCCTGGAACTTTCTGGCCCGCCTATGGTCCATTTTGAAAATGAGTCCTTCCAGAATCACCTTAACTTTCTACAAAATTTAAATCTCCATAATCATTCTGTGCATGATGAGATAGACCTAGAACAAGAGTTAGTCGTTGTATGTGAAAATGTTTTGGACATATACTTAAACTGTGCTGGTTCCCTTTCCGCTTTTCACAAGTCAGATACCCAGCCAGTGCCACATCGAAAACTCCCTCTGAGCTCAGCAAAGAAGGAGGAGATAGCTGCTCGGACATCATTAGTCATCTCAGCATTGCAAGGGTTGGCTGGTCTGAAAAAGGATTCATTCAGGAGGTGTATTCCACAGTTCTTTCACTTACTGGTAGATCTCGTGAGGAGTGAACACACCTCTGGAGAAGTTCAACTAGCTCTGAGTAATTTGTTTCGTACATCTGTTGGACAAATTATAATGGATTGAGCTTTAGTTTTGGCATACTTTGTTTTTTGGACGTCGCTGAATATAAGTAAGCATAGCAAGAGCCATTACGTGGCCATGTCTTAATTTACTCACCAGTGCTATGTAGTGTCACTCTTGGTTTTTTGTGATTGTATGTGCCATTAATGTAAATGAGGAATTTATTTGAAGGAGCACAGTGAGGTATCACTACTAGGTAAGGGATAAGTCGGGCAACTAATGGCACTGGCTGGTTTGGTTTACAGTTGGGTAGAATTGATTTTGATAAAATTCATTTTAAGTCCTTGAATGTAATTAAAATATGCGTATAAATTAATCTGATCTATATATTTATATTGGAACACGTATTTTTCATTAGAAAAAGTGCAAAAATTGACCAATATAAACAAGCCCAAGTGTATTTATAAAATGAGTTAAGAATATTTTTTAAAGTCTATTTAGATTCATTTTAGGTAAGTATTTAGATAAGTCTTGATAAAAGAAGAAAAAAAGTTATATTATTTAAAAAATAAATAAAGTTTCCCTCATAATTTAAAAACAATTTACATTCTTTAAATTTTAAAGCAGTTAAATGAGGTTTTTAAAAATAGTAAAGTATAAATTGATTTAAATTTTTTATTTGTTTCATCATTTAATCTTTTATAAGTACTTATTAATAAGTTTATTTATAGTTAAAAAAACAATAACAACATAAACTTAGATTAAAATTAATATTAAATGTTAGAGAAGTTACATAGCATGTAATAAAAGAGGAAAAAAGGTTAAAAATAATCTTATTTAAAATAATTCTTAAAAAATAATTTAAATATAAGAACACGCATTTAATATACATATATATATATATTGAAATTATATGAATGTATATTTATATAAATGTTAAGACCATAAAATATTATTTTATTAATTGTTCTATGAACACCATTGTAAGACTTAAACTATTCACTAAAGTAGAAAATAGTTAAGTCAAAAAAAAAAAAATTGTGGACCATAAGATTTAAAGTATTCACTTTATTTACACAGTATGCCTTTTGATTTTATTTTATGTAACAGTTTAGAAATTATATTTTATATTGTCAACTATAAATTAATTAACAGTTTTTTTTTTAAGAAATTTAGCTTTAATAATTAATGTATGCTTAGCTGAAGAATGTGCTGTGTCATCTTGTTCCCACTAACCCATATTAATTAATATAATAAGCAAGGGGCATAATAAGAAATTAAATAATATTTTTTATTAAAAATGGAGTATCAATTGTTTTCTTAATTTTTGTGTAAAATTTAAAATCAAAATTAAAAATAAAAAGGTATTCTCAAAAAAAAATATTAGTTTATGTATTATTTCATTAATAGAGAATGGACAAAAATAAAGCATTATTTTAAAAATATTTATCTAGTCCAAATATTTAAAGAAAAAAGACACTAAAATCTCTTCCCTCTTATTTTTACCTCCCTTCTAAGAATTATTAATTTAAATATGGTGTTTGGGTTGATTAAGTATAAAGACTCTAACTTAATAATTTTATTTATTTTCTCTACTAATATATTGATAAATTACTTTATTTTTTTCTCATCTCTTATAAAATTGACTGGTATTTTTCTTCTTCTTCTATGCATTTTTCTTTCCTTTATTTCATTATTTTCTTTAATATAAAACTATATTTTTTTTAATAAATTTTTCTTTAATGTATTATATTTTTTAAACATCCAAATTCTATTATTTATTTATATTCGAAAGATACTTGTAAACAATGTATATATTTTTAGATAAAGTAAGTTTTTGGCTCATAAAAAAATGAATTTCTTTTTAATATTTGTTCTCTTGTCTTTGAGTTTTTTCTCATTTAGTTCATTTATATATAATAATTTTTTATTTATTCTCTCATTTTAAATAAATAAATAATTTATAATATTTTATAAAAAGTTTGTAATATCTATACTGATAAAAAAAATCTCATAATATTTAATAGAATCGAATAAAAAAATACAGAGAATCGTTCAGTAAAAAAATATTTTATTAAGGAAATGTTTAAAGAAAATTATAAAAAAAAGTTAGTAAAGGATGATGAATTTTTCAGAGATAAAAACTAAATTAAACATGTTTTATTTATATACAACAACTCTATGACAATGAGACGAGAGCAACGAAGCTAGAGAGAATTATCGCGTTTCCTCAGTCTCCGTCAGTGCGTATGCTTGGTTGGAAGAGTTGTATCATTGTATAATTTCTATTCCCGTTAGCATATTCTCCACGCGCTCCCGGTAGGTCACTGTCACTGGACGGTTAGTTCGTTTCCTTATCTCGCTGCTCCATTAATAGTTGCTCTGCTTTCGTTCTATATGAAGTCCATGTATTACCTATCCTGATCTCACAACTGGTATTTGAGATATTAGTCATGGATAACGAGGTGTTAGAATTTGATATTGGGCTGGGTGGAGGCGAGGGAGAATATGAAGATGATGGAGGGGACATTGAGCACCCTATCGACGAGGAGGAATTGGCCGATAGCAGTGGTGGCTGCGGCGGCGGCGGCGGCGGTGGTGTAGCTACCACTGGTGGTGGCGGTGAAATATATTTTCCTGATGGGGACCTCTTAGATCTTGAACCTTACGAGGGCATGGAATTCGAGTCTGAGGAGGCTGCCAAGGCCTTCTATAATTCCTATGCTCGTCGTGTTGGGTTTAGTACTCGTGTGAGCTCATCCCGTCGTTCGAGGCGCGATGGTGCTATTATACAGAGGCAGTTTGTTTGCGCAAAGGAGGGGTTCCGCAACTTGAATGAGAAACGCACCAAGGATAGAGAGATCAAGCGCCCACGAACCATTACCAGAGTGGGATGTAAAGCGTCTTTGTCTGTCAAAATGCAAGATTCTGGCAAGTGGGTCGTGTCTGGATTTGTTAGAGAACATAATCATGAACTGGTTCCACCAGACCAGGTGCATTGCCTTCGCTCTCACAGGCAAATATCAGGAGCTGCTAAGATGCTGATTGATACTTTACAGGCAGCCGGGATGGGTCCTCGTAGAATTATGTCAGCACTGATTAAAGAGTATGGTGGGATTAGCAAAGTCGGGTTTACAGAGGTGGACTGTAGGAATTACATGAGGAACAATAGACAGAGAAGTTTAGAAGGGGACATTCAACTTGTTCTGGATTATTTGAGACAAATGCATGCTGAAAACCCTAATTTCTTCTATGCTGTGCAAGGGGATGAGGATCAGTCCATAAACAATGTTTTCTGGGCTGATCCCAAAGCAAGGATGAATTATACATTTTTTGGTGACACTGTAACTTTTGACACTACATACCGATCTAACAGGTATCGGTTACCATTCGCTCCCTTTACTGGTGTAAACCATCATGGGCAACCTGTTCTCTTTGGTTGTGCTTTCCTAATTAATGAGTCTGAAGCATCATTTGTGTGGCTTTTCAAGACATGGCTTACGGCAATGTCTGGACGCCCACCAGTGTCGATAACAACTGATCATGATTCTGTAATTCGATCAGCTATAATACAAGTCTTCCCTGAGACCCGCCACCGCTTCTGCAAGTGGCACATCTTTAAAAAATGCCAGGAGAAGTTATCTCATATTTTCCTCAAATATCCAAATTTTGAAGCTGAATTTCACAAATGTGTTAACTTGACTGAGTCAATTGAGGAATTTGAGTCTTGCTGGTCAGCACTTGTAGAAAAATATGATCTCAGGGATCATGAATGGCTTCAAGCAATATATTCTGCTTGTCGGCAGTGGGTACCTGTATATTTGCGAGACACATTCTTTGCAGAAATGTCCATCACTCAGCGAAGTGATAGTATGAACTCTTACTTTGATGGGTATATAAATGCCTCAACCAATTTAAATCAGTTTTTTAAGCTTTATGAGAAAGCACTTGAAAGCCGCAATGAGAAAGAAGTGAGAGCAGATTATGACACAATGAATACTTTGCCAGTATTGAGGACCCCATCTCCAATGGAGAAGCAAGCATCTGAACTTTACACAAGAAAAATTTTTGTGAGGTTCCAGGAGGAGTTAGTTGGAACACTAACATTCATGGCATCCAAAGCTGATGATGATGGGGAGGTCATTACATATCATGTAGCTAAATTTGGAGAGGAGCATAAAGGATACTGTGTTAAATTCAATGTTTTAGAGATGAAAGCAAGTTGTAGTTGCCAAATGTTTGAGTTTTCAGGCCTTCTTTGCAGACATGTTTTGGCAGTCTTTAGAGTTACCAACGTGCTTACCCTCCCATCTCATTATATATTGAAACGTTGGACAAGAAATGCCAAGAGCAATGTAATATTAGAAGAACATTCTTGTGATGTATATACTTACTATTTGGAATCTCATACTGTTAGATATAACACCCTCCGACATGAGGCCTTTAAATTTGTTGATGAAGGTGCACAGTCCTCTGAAACTTATGATACTGCAATGGATGCTTTACAAGAAGCAGCAAAAAGAGTTGCTCAGGCAGTGCAAAATGAGGGAAGAATTCCAATCAGCAATGGAAAGGTAAGGAGTCACTTACTGAATGATGAAAGTCAAGCTAATTACACAAGTGGATGCCAGGAAGAAAGCTTGAGCCAGCATATGCCTAAGGTCAGAATTCCATTTCATTGTTGTTTTGTAACTTTTTTTTTTATGATAGCTGTATTGGTTGTGTGTGTTTTACTCTTTCATCCACCCTGATAAAGATATAAATCCAATCTTGAACCTTCACCTAATAGATTAAGGTATCATGATACCAATCGTCACCGAAAACTAATCTTGAAATAGTATTAGAGCTGCTATGACAAAATGGTTAGGAGTCTGATCCCTGCCACCCTTGATCATTTCAACAAAGCTCAATTCCATCACATGATTGAGAAAACCTGTTCATTGACCACACTGCAAGCTGCAGGCCCTAAGGAATTATGTATGAGGGGGTGTTAGAGATATAAAACCATTCTTGAACCTATACCTAACAGCTTAAGCTTTTAAGAGAGTTGGACCTTGACTCACCCTTTTTAGCTCCCAAGGTAAGGTTAGTTACTTTTCACTCTTAACCCTTTGATGATTTTTAGTTATTATGAGTGCTTTTGTATATTTTCTCTATTTATTTAAGTCCTAATATACAATCATTGTAGTATTTGGAAGAAAGTTTTATTTTCATTCTTTGATTCAAATATGAATTATAGGTCAAATATATGAAAAGATGTACACTAATTCAGGAACCTAAATTGGAAAAGACTAAACCTAAATAATGAAATAATCTGCAGATATTAGAATCAGGAGGTATTTTATATACAAATGATACCTTTAAGGAAAGTAAATAAACAATATTATAGCTTGTCCCTAGTCCAACTAATAGAACCTAGGGAAAATAGAATCAGTCATCTATGAATGATTACTATTTACAGAGATATAAATAGTTGGAGTTGAGTACTAACAGATTCTGTAACTAATAAAAACAGAAATATTGATACAAAACTAATACAACTAAAATACAAAACCAACTAAACTAATACAACTGAGTTGTATACTCTAATATCCCCCGCAAACTCAAGAAGGGTTGGCAAAAAGCTTGTCAACAACTCTAAGCTTGAATCTATAGACAATGAAAGTGGAGGGTGAAAGAGCTTTGGTAAGAATGTCAGCCTTTTAGTCAATAGCAGGCACATGGATCACCTGAACTTGCTTGGAAATGACATTCTCACGAAAAAAGTACATATCAAGTTCAACATGCTTCGTTCTAGAATGCAGAATAGGACTATGAGCAAGACTAACAGGATTTTGATTGTCACAAAAGATGACAGGAGAAGCACGTGAGACTTGAAGTTCTGACAGAAGTGACTGAATCCAAGAGACTTCAGCTGTAGTGATAGCTAAACTACGGTATTCTGCCTCTATATTGGAGCAAGCAACAACAAATTGCTTTTTAGATCACCTAGAAACTAAGTTTGGGCCAAAAAATATAGCAGCACCATGGAGCGTCTGTCATCCAAATTAGAGGCTCAATCAGCATCACATTAAGCATAAACAAAATAGTGGGAAGTGAAAAATTTTGGCTGTAGGAACAAACTAATCTGAAGAGTGCCTTTAAGATATCACAGAATACACTTAACAACTTGCCAATGTGGCTCCTTATTAAGAGAGTAGAAGGGAATTATTGGAGTGACTGCTGACATCAATCCCTAATCTAATAAACTGAAATAACAGAAAGATTTGATCCTAAAATATCAAAACGACTTATTGACTATAATATTAATTTAATAACCTAAAATAACATAAAACACCTTATAGCAGTTTCAAAAGCATTTTGGTAACAAGATCTGTAACTTTGTTAGTGACTGCAATTATAGAGAGAAAAAAGTACATTGAAACATTAAATTACTGGTCTGATAAAATCCGAATACAGTTCTGAACACAATTCAAAATAGGTACACTAACATTCTCCTTCAAACTCAGGATAATTGATTAACCAATGATGAATCAACTATTTTGAATTTGCTTCTTAAATGACTGAAATTGCTGCTCCCATTACTTTGGTCAAAATGTCTTCAATGAACTAATACAATCTAAAGTATATACACTAACATTTGTAAAAAGAAAAAGTGCTTTCAGGTCCATAAATCCACTTTGTTCTTGCATGTGTTTTGTTGAAGAAGGTTATATATAAATGATATGGACATAATTTCATTTTAATTTGCAAGTCATTCCATTTTTCTAATTCGGTGGATTTATTATTCTTCCCCTAGATTTACCGTCTCTCATTTCTTTCAAAGATTATATTATTAAATTAAAAAGGAAAAACCATCTCTTGTCAAACAGATTTTATAGTATCATTGGTTTTAAACATATAATCATTCAAGCTAAAATATGTTTTGTTTATTTTAATTTCGTTGATTTATGTCCTGCAGGATGATATGGATAAGAATATTAGAAAACTTATGAATGAGCTTGAGTGTGCAAATCGGAAGTGTGAAATTTACCGGTCCAACCTGCTCTCTGTTTTGAAAGCTGTTGAGGATCACAAGTTAGAGTTGTCAGTTAAGGTGGAAAACATCAAGATAAGCATGAAAGATGGCCTCTAAAGATTATGGAGAAGTAACATAGAAACAGATAGGAAAACAAATGTAAAATATACTTCCCGTCCATTTTCTTTTCTAGCAATCCAATCAGGTTTCAATAATGATCCCAAGATAAGGTTTTTCTTCCCCAGAAATTGATATTCTATTGAACCTTTGTCTTCTATCCCTTTAATGATTTATGAAGCTGGTTTGCAGGGCTACCATATTAAAGTTAACTTGTACTGTTCAGGTCTTTTTATAAGTAATTTAGCACCTATATGTCATCATATTAATATTTTTTTTAGGTTCAATAATTGTTTACGTAGTTTTTATCTGTACTTACGCCCAATTGTGGAAACTTTTAAAGAAATCTTTGTAAAAAATAAATCAGTATAAAAAATAAATAAATTTTTTCTTTTAAATTCAAAACAATCTATCTTTTCAAATTTTAGAAAAGTTAAAAAAACTAAAAATTAAAGAAACATAATTTATTTCAAGAAGTTTATCTAAACTGGAGCTTATTACACAAAAAGTACTACTTGTTTTTGCTTGAAGTTTAAAGTGTTTTTATTTTTCTAACTATTCAAGCATATCCTAGTAATCATAGCCTAAGCTTCTCTCTCTCCAAAAGTTACAGGAATTGATTGCATAGATCATAGATGAGTTTAAAAGTTTAAATTGAAATTTGACAATCACATAATTCCCGTTAGACGATGGTTGCCATGTTTAATAAGATAAATGACTTGAATGTTCACACCGGAGAACCAATAATTGCGGGCTCAAGATTCTACCAAGTGCACTGACGTTGATACCACTGTAGAACGTCAGTATTAGCGAGTGACTTTTAATATAAACTTTCCCCGTGTTGTAACTTTTAACAACACCTTGTAACTATATTTTCTTCTGTCACAGAATTAATTGGAAAAGATAGCTTTTAATGAAAGCTACAAGATTACCCTAAAAAAGATATAAAACTTCTGTTAAAAAATATATATATTAAAATTTACAAAATCATCCGGTAGTACCAAATTGATCCCTGCAAATTAAATATAGGACAATAAAGGAAAATACACGACAGCGTAGTCTACACCCTCCTATCGGTGATGTGGTAGTGGGGAATGTTAGCCGAGGGCCTGTCTGGTGGCCAAAGCACTGCATTTAACAGCAACATGTAATTACGTGAAGGCATAACATACAAACAAAAAGCATGAAATAAAATATGGTAATGTCCTTTTTAACCCCAAAATGCTTGAAATTAAGAATGATCCTCCACTTTTCTACAAAAAGCTTCTACAGCTACTCCTTCAAATTTCCGCCCATGGCATCCAAGATTTTCCTTTTACATAAACTCATTCTAATATATCTTCTTTTTTATTAAAGAATTTGGCCTTCCTTTTAGATCCTCTGCATTCCACATTCAAGTTCATGATTTTCCAGTCTACATATCGCACTTGGGCATTATTGCAATGAAATTGAGCCTTCAACCTCCAAAATATTCAAACCACAAAATTCCAAATGCACTACAACTCATCAAACCAGCCAATTCTTATGAGGAACATCCAGTTGAATCTTCCTGTCGTGTGGCCACCGACATCTTTGTAAACATTCGACTATTCTACATTTTCCACTAACACTTCACATTTAAACAAAACCTTGATATAACAAGGTTATGTATATATCCGTGTGTATTAGTGTATTATCTTTCCTTGACTGTTTTAATTTCAATCCTTCCAAAATAAGAAATAAAAGTGAATTTAATTACAGATTTTATGTTTGAAGGAGGATTTGGTTTCCTGAATGCAAAAAATTTATTAAAAGGATAATATAAGGGTACGAATAAGTCATCGGAGAAAAGTAACAAAACCTGCATGTTAGACTGATACTGTGGGGGTCTAATATACCAACCGGATATGTTCTTCCATAGATATTCCTCACAACTGGGACTTGATTCAATCCACGCTCCTTCATAATCATTTCAGCATAATGAAGTTCCATATCAGGTGTAGCTGTCCATGGTACAGTACATATTCCTCCATTTAAAAGGCATAATTCAGAAACTGAAAGCTCCTGAAAGTAGAAGAACAAAGGAGTCAGATTTGTGAAGCAACAACAAAGTAGTTTAGTTCAGACTTGTATGAGCAGTATCTATTGATTTAATCAAAGCCCCCACCAAGCTCTACCATTAGCACTTCTCTGACTGATTTAGTTGAATTGAAAAATCATAAAGTGGCCAAATTGTCATGTTTTATGGAGACCAAATTGGTATATATATATATATTGTTAAGATGGGAGAAAACGAGAAAGCATGTGATAAATTGTGTGTGTTTCAACTACACCACAGGCATAATATTTGTATTAACAAGGGTAATTACAAGCATAGTTACATAATCTTATATAAATATATGTTACCTAATTACTATAATTATATGGATATTAATTTCTCTAAATAGCATATTTACATATATTTAACACTCCCTGTTAATCATATGCACCGAAATTGTCACAAATGTACTTAATACGAGGACCTCTCACGGAATTTGTGAATACATCAAGAAAATATGAAATGAATACAAATGTACTTAATACTAGGTTGTCAAAGAGTATCTCATCCTCAAGAAAATATATAGATTTCATAACTAGTTAATATGAAACTCAGATTCTTGTACCTTGTGTTTTCTGCTTCTTGCTTTTGCAAATTTTCCATAAACTTGAATGTCTGTAAGTGTCAAAAAACCAATCAAAGTATCATCAGTATCAACAATTACTGCACATGACTGTTTCTCAGCAAGCATGAGATCTAAAACTTCTGTGAGCAGCGTACACATTGACACTGTCACATATCTTGTGTTCATGGCTTCTGAAACAAATGTTCTCACAAAATATGCTATCTCAACTTTATCTTCCTCTACACAAAGTGAACTTTCCACTTGACACAAATCAGTCAAATATGACACACCTTCAGCAAAGGTCTTGCCATTAGATGACTCAATCAAGCTATTAGAAGTTATTTCTGGAAGTAAAGCAGAATTTGAGTTGTCTAACTTGAGCTTTTTTGTCCCCCTGTCATCTCTTTTTGTCTGTAGGGATGACATCCATGAAGACAACCCTACTGCTCCAAGTAGTGGTAGCACAATCCGATAGTCCTGTGTCAATTCAAATAGAAGCAAAACTGCAGTAAGTGGTACTTGACAAACTCCTGCAAGAGTTGCAGCCATTCCAACCTGCAAAGGAACTTCAATATGATCATCTGTGCCACGCCAGTATCTTTTCCTGAATATTCACATAAAATAGATGAAATAATACATTAGGGTTTTCAAGCCCTAACTCTTTCACATTGTTTTCAAGTTGCATCTACTCATACAAAGTATGGTAGCATTCCAGCACGGAAAACCATATGCTCACAATAAGGCAATTTAAAAGACCAAAAGAATTTCCAAAATTTGCTTTGATCTTCAAACTTGATTGAGCTACTTGGAGCATTGAAAATCTAGTCCAATCCTAAATGAGAATTTTTCTTCCAGATTACTGCCAGAAAACATATTAGTCATGGTTAAATTCTATTAGTATTATCATGATTATTATCAAAAGTTAAAGTCCTTTATAATTTACTGTCTTGTTCAATATTTTATTTAACTCGTTCTTACAGTTTTTTGGGAGGAAGGTAAGTAGAAAAAGAAAATCAGACAGGAAAAGGTTCCCCAAAAAAAGCACAAATCTGAAGACAAACAAAAAGGTAAAAACTCCCATAAGAAACCACAAAACAAACACAATTCAAGGAGAACAGAAAAGGGGACCACCACAACTGCCCAAAACTCTCTTAAGAAACTCCATCCCCTAAACACCAGCAACAAAGAGATAAACTAATACTCAAACACAAAACTATTCTCTTTTGGCCTTAAGTGTCAAAAGAACCTAATTATGCCTTCTAATTCATTTATGCTCTTCATAATATACTTTTGTTGCTAAATCTTTGAAGTTCCTTTTATGCCTTACTCTTCGTACCATAGGTTGTAGGTAATTAGATATTTTGTCAAAAATATATTACATGCTTTCCCTAATGCTTTCATTTGCATCTTACATTTCCTATAGGCCTACCCTACTAAAAGAATGATTTCCTCACCCAATGCCCTAACTTTTGGGCCAAAAGGCTTCAGCTTTTCAACATCTGGACGAGGCACAGAATTCCTTTCCAGAACCAGCATTAATAGAATTAAACTCTTATAAAACTATTTTTGTCCTCTACGGTATCTTGGAAGTCTACAAGTATCACTAACCTTAACTGCTTTGTAGTTGAAAATGCTATTTCACTGCTTGTAAGATACAGAAAATGTCAAGACATGAATCCTGAAGATGTCTCATTGATCAACTTTTGTCATCAAACCAACATTAATCTTTCCCTTTATGGAATCTTGGAAGCCTAAACTAAGTTTCATTGTCCTCCGCACTTTCTTGAGGATGCCATCACTCAACACCCTGCCTAACATTCTATTCATGTTCATCCCTTAAATCATGCAAAAACAGATCTTCATTGTCTCAAAAGGAATAATTTTCATTCATTATGCAGTGCTTCAGAATTAGATTGGATAGTTAATTGCTTTCGTTGTGTTAATAGGTGAATGTTCTGAAATCAACAAACTCAAACCATATCATTATATACCAATATATCATGACTATTAATAATTGCAAATGCAATGGGTGACTCTATCTATAAGCATGAATAAAGGCTTGTGGAAATGCATGCCAGATAATTGTACACAAAATAAGCTTTATTTCAACAAACTGTAAAGTTTGAATAGATGGTACAGCTTTGTTTGGAAATTAAGGTGTATGGTTTTTCTATTTCACCATTTCCTTCACAAATCTTGAAAGTAAATAGGAAACCAAATCAAAAGGTAAAGAAAAAGAATGCATTTCCAAACAGAGTGAAAATAAAACAGGTAACGTAATTATTAGTCAAGACATGTTGAGTGAAAATAACAACACAGAATAAACCAAACAACCCTGGTAAAGTAAAAGAATACAACCTATATCTGTGAAAGAAAATAAAATGTAAGAAATATGAAGAAAATAAATTACTTTCCTTTCACTTGATTGGATGTCTACAAAGTAACATTAATAAAACACAAGGAATGAACCAAACCTCCACTCTGGGAAAACAGAAAAAATCTTTCAGGTAAACTACTTATTTTTTATTTACTGAAAAAACTTCAAAGCAAGAGAAAGTAACCTTTCATTTCTTTTCCTTTTCTCTCATTTTCCTTAATACAATTATACCCAAAATTGTCAACTTATGCATATGAAGTTTATTGCACCCAAGGCATCCTTTTTTCAATCAATTTTTTTAACAAAAGAACTCTCCTTATGGAGGATGGAGAACATGAAAAATAGATTACAGGACAGATGTCCAAGAGATTCTCCTAAGATAACATCAAAGAACGGAAGAGAGGGCTTTACCATCAAACTAGTGAGCCTTATGCTCCTTATCTAGAATTAAAATTCCGAAATATTAAAAAATCATGACTAGGTACTCACAGAAATGAGAGTTCCTCTTGGAACAGGCTCATTTGTACACCCATGGAAGTCGTCTTGGAATAATATAATTCACCCCCGTCTCAAAGAGAAGATAAAGCAATCATGCCAAGCATAAAATACTAAATGGTTACGTAAAATCATATAGCCAGAAAAGAAAGAATAGTACCAGGCCATAAGCTTGTGGTGATGCCACTTCCAAAACAGAGAGGTTAATCATGGGATTAAACTCAGCAACAGCCAAACCAATTAATTTTCCATAAACCATCCCTGTTGCACCACCAATAAAGAGCGATGGGGCATAATACCCTCCTACTAATCCAGAAGCCCTACACAGAGAAGTTGCAACTATCTTGACAGCTATTAGCTGAAGCAAAAGGTCAGTGGAAAGGCCTTTAACAAATGGCCGAGATTCTAACAAAATGTCAACATTCTCAAAACCCCAATAGAGGATTTCAGGATACACCAATGCTATCAACCCAACTGCTAAGCCTCCCAATACAGGGAATGAAGCTCTTGTAATGCCAGTGGCCTTGTGAAGATTGTCAACAATAGTCAACATATATGATGTACACCTAGATAGGGCCAATGACACTAGGCCACATAAAATACCCAGCAATAGATACAGCGGGAGTTCTGAAATCAAGTAAAATACTCTCACAGTAAAACTTACCCATGAGATTGAAAATAGAAATAAATGTTCCCAATGAATTTAGCTTTTGTTTTCTTGAAATTTAAAATCAACAGTTTAATAGAATGTTATCCAGATTCTGCTTCACAAAGACCAAAAAGTCTACAGAGAATATACAATACAAAACCCGAATTAATATAAGCAGTATTTTACAAATGAAATCACACTGAACCACAGCAGAAACAATTTTTATTTTGAAGTTCAAAATCCTGCAAATGTATGATAATGCCAGTAATGTATTGTTCTGCTTCTGAAGTTCTGATGGTGAGATGATTCATCAGGAGTGATGCTGTGCACCTGTGACTCTTGTAGATTTAGATGCAGTCAAAGAGTTTGTTTGCCAGCAGTGCAGACAATTCTTGTACCAATTAGAACAAAAATAGCACCAGTGGCAGCAGCAATGTTGGTTATAAAGGAAAATTTTCAGCAGTCAAAAAGGATGAACTGTGAAGAAGCATTAGTATTGGCTTGCCTGGCAGAAGTAAATGTCAAAGATGATGACAGTAGTGGCAGGATGAACATAGTAAGAGACCATGTTGATTATGAACTATTAGAGTATTGAAGCAGAAAGATAAAACTAAAATGGTCATACTATGGAATTATGTCTTAGTATTTCAATGATCCAATATGACACGGTAAAGGAACAATTTACTTGCATGTGGTTACTGAAATCTTTGTGGGAGGAGAAAAGGGACTGGCTGACTTAGCGCTTTCATGTATTATTATACTTGACTGGGTTTAACCAAGCTTGTAGGAATTTTCCAGGTACAGCCATCCTTAGTTGTATGGTTCAATGATAGGCAGTTACGTGCAGTCAGTTAAATCAAATGTGCTTAGTGAAACCAAATCAGTACACATATATACATAAACAGCTATACTTAAGCAATATCTTCCTTTGATTCTTAATGAGGCTTGATATGCTTTGCTGATATTTGACAGGGTAGAAAGGAATAAAGCAATGAGCTAGAGGGAGAGAATGAAACGGTACAAACAAATGTGTGAAATTACAAGTATTCTCTGAGAAAAATCTTTTGATGACTACTTACCCCCAGGGGAACGGAAGTCATACTCTGGAACTTTAAAGGCTGGTTCAGAGCCAAGGCCAATTTCAGAAACAACAGAAGATATGACAGCACTAAGTATCACCATGGAAGTAGTATTTGTAAGTGGTAAAGACGCATGTGAAGGCGATGGCCACAAGACAGACTCAACAGCGAAAAAACAACCAGCAACAGCAGCATTGAAACCTGATAAGAACTATTAATTAGAGAAGAGAATAATCACATCAAAGTAATGAATTTGGTAAAAGTAAATGTAGATACCGGCAGCGAGGCCAGCAGCAGATCCAGCGGCCAGAAGGGAAAGCATTCTGCCAGAACTTTTGGCATTGTCAAAGAAAGGACCGATCCCTTTGGCAACGGAAGTACCAATGTCGACGCTGGGACCCTCGGGACCCAAGGAATTGCCGGTACCTAAAGTAACAGAAGCTGCCATGGCCTTTAAGAAAGGGCGGGAAGCAGACTTGAGGTACGCAGATGGAGTTTGGAGGAAGGGGTTTTCTTGGACAGCGGAATCAAAACGTTGACGAAGTAGATTCAGCATAGACACTATAACACCTCCAAAAGTCGGAACTAGTATTACTCTTGTCCAGGTTTCCTGAATAGGCGCTTCTCTCAACCACGAGGCGCCTCGATAGGGAATCCCGTCCCAGAACAAATCACGAATTTCATGGACCTTACTCATAGTGAAGTCAAACTCGAATGAATGATACAGTTGCAGTAATATGAATATGAATGACTGATACAGTATAATACGGAAATAGGAATACGAACAAAACATCAGAGAGTCAGTGCAAACTTACCACATTATTGAAGAGAACGACAGCCACACCGGTGAGGAGACCAACCAGGCATGAAGATATTATTCCAGAATCGCGAATCCTACTTGTGAGGAGCTTCCATTCTAGCTCTAGACCTAGTTGTTCCCAAGGAGATGCTCCTTCATCCTCAACATCTCTATTGTCAGGCACTGAAAACGGGCGTCTGGGCTTAATTCGGCACTGATGATTTTTGTTCGTGATAGCAGAAGGAGAAGTAGGGAAGAATGAGCACCACCGTGTTAGCGTTACTGCCTCTTCAGATTTAGAAGCAAGGATTCCATGATGCTGCCAGCTGCGGTGAACTCCTACTCCCGCTATGCATCGTAAGCCAACCATTTCTTATTCCGACTTCTTCGCACGCCACCGTAAATAACAACAACATTTTTTTCCTGCTTATTCAAAAAACTTCTTTCAACGTCAAGATTCAAGAAAAAAATAATATAAAGAAAAATGTTAATAATAATACACTCTTAAACATACTTTTAGGATATATTTTATTTCAGAAAATATTTTTTATTTTCATTATATTTTATATTTTCAAATACTTATTTAAAAAATAGTGGGATCTTATTTTTTTTTACTTTTGTCGTTTTCTATACAAATTTTAAAAAATAAAAAAATGATAATTTTGTAATTAAAAGTAAAAGAAAAATATAAAATATTTTGATAAAATAAACTAGTCTTAAGTAATTGATTTATTTTTTTTAAAAGTCAAAGCATTTATTTTACAAATTTTTATTTAAAATTACTTTTACTTTTTTACAAACTAACCAAGGAGTGTATTATTTATTACTACCATTTCTCGTAATATATATTATACTCCTTTGGTCACGGTTTATTATAATGAAAAAAATATGAATTTTTATCAAAGGAATTAGAATATGCATTTAAAAAAGTGTTTGGTACATGGAAAGAAGGTGAGACGAATCAAAATAATAATTCAAACAAATATAAAAAAGATGGAAATTTTTACATTTTTGTTTTTATATAAAAAAATTCTTTCATTTTCCATTAACTAACCAACGAAATTGTATTATTATTATTATTATTAGCAGTAGTAGTATTAGTATTAGTAATTTTTTTTCTTTTATGCTTTTTTTAAATTATACAAAGTATAAGTATTTGAGTGAATATTAGTATTTACAGAAATGATGGTAAATTTTAAGATGGATCACTTTAAATTTAGATTACAATTCTAACACATTTACATTCTCTAAAACTTAACATTTAATTGAGATGAAAAATAACAACTTCTCATCCCTATATAAGAGAAACACTATTTTTTAATTAGAGTGGTTGACTTTGTTAATTATTTAATTTTAAAATAATTTTATTTAAAAATATTATTCCTATCCCTCTATATCATCTAATTAAGCATTCATAAATAAAAATTATATATATATATAAGTACATATTTATTATATTAAAATAATAAGAGTACAATAAATATTTCAATTGGTAAGAGATTATTCAACTTATTTTGTGATCTTGAATTCGAATATTAATAAATGCATAATTATTTTTAGTGAAAGATGTGTGTAGTGTTAACTGTTGACCAAATAAAATGTACATATTCTTGGTTTATATTTTGTATCTAATTTTAAACAATTGTTATTGTATCACTTAAAAAGATATTAAAAGTAAATTTATCGTTCAACTTCTTTTAGGGTTGACAATAAAAAACTTAATAATAAAATTGTATTGAAAAATTATTTAATATATTTTTATTACTTTAATATTATAAAATGCATTTTTTATGAAATTTTTTATTTATGCTAAAAAAAATTTAAAAGAAATAAAAATATAAAATATAAAATTAAGAAAAAGATAAAATAAAAATAGTTTTTTTTACTGTTTATTTAAAAGGAAGGAGAAATAGGGAAAGAAATTTTTTTATGTTAGACCTTAAAAAAATATTTCTCTCCTCAATTGACATGAAATGATAAAAAATAAGTTATTTATCTATTTTTTATAAATAAATTATAACATAAAATAATAAAAATTGTGTTAAAAAAAAACAAGAGAACAAGAGGTTAAATTTTATAACAAAGTGTGAATGTTTTTTTATTTGTTATTTTTTGTCATGAAAGTGGTAATGTATGTATGGACCAAAAGTTCATCATATCAAGTAAAATTGGTCAATTAGAAAATCACATAATAACAGCATATCATGGGCCAGTAATAAAGCCTTGCCGAGCAACAAGACAAGAAATATCTCTAACAACGAAAAATGTTAATCTTTACAGTCCTTTCTCCTCTACAAAGAACTCGGTCGGGAAGCAAGTCGGTAATCTCGTTAGTACTTTCCTTGTCTTAATCCCAAAAGTAGATTAATTCAACACCACAGCATCATGACAATAAAAATAAATGTGTGCAATTACAATTGTGACCCATATTGAATCTCGAGTGCCCTAAGCTTTATAGCACTCAAAAAATTAATCTCACTTTAAACAAAAAATAAAGGATAATATGATATAAAAAGAAACATCTAAAGTAAATTTGTCTTTCTAAACAAAAAAATAATAAAATAAATAGAAGGGTTATCTTCCAGGTGTGTAAGTAAAAGGCCTTTTATCCTATATTAAATAATGATAGGTTCACAACCAAAATAATAATAATAATAATAATGATAGATTAAGAAACCAAAAAACACCGTAAATGAGTGAAGTTTTAAAATAATAGATTATGAGCCAAGCATTTTTATCCCTAAATATTTCTTATTAGTCCTTGACTTTAAAAGACACCATTCATTCTAATAATTTTCTACTTTATTTTTTCTATCATTTTATATTTAAAATGACTAAAATAAATATCGTTTTACAAACTCTAGGACTAATAAAAAATGTTTAAAATCTCAAGTATTAAAATATGTAACTCATACTATCTCAAGAATTTACTTGAGAGTTTATTATATTAGACAAATCTCATAAAAGCATTGTCCTCGGCCTTCACTTTGTTATCACTTCATATGCTCGAACCTCAAGTTAGCAAAGGTTCCATAAACAAACTCAAATCACATCGTTTCATCTATTCTTATTCTTTTTTATTTATTTATTTTTGGCACTTGAAAAATTTTGGATGGGACAAGGGAAGGTTATTTCATTACAACAAAGTCAGGGCAACGTCATTAGCTTCAACAAGAACTTCTAGGGGAACTTACATCTCACTCAACAAGAAGCATAATGCAGAGAATCAAACCTAAGCCTGGTTCCATCCTTGTTGAGATATATATACGAAGATAGATTTCAAATTATAAACTATAACATTGAACTGATAGGTTCAACATGTGTTCGAGGCTAAACAACAAATAAATAAATAAAAATTCCAGAGTTGGAAAAATAGAAAGAAGTCACAGTTATCTTTGTATCTTCCCAGCAGAGTGCAGATAAATTGCAACAGAGACAACCCTGTAAACATAATTTAACAAATTTTTATTCCACAGAAAAAGACAGAAGGAAATAAAGCAATTTATGCGAGACTACAAAATGAAGCATAAAAAACTAATGTTCACTGGCATCAGTGGCATGCATATAAAGATGAAACATTTCAAAATTTAACGCAAATTACATTAAGAGGCAAAGCCATAAAAAACCTAAAAAAAGTTTAATTTCTTCGTTGATATAATATGATTTGTTGATGATTTCTGCTAATCCCTATTTCATGAATGTACAATACTTATGTGATTGGAAGAAAAGCACAATATAGGACATGGGAAGCGCATTCACGATAAAATAAACAACTTACACTGTGCCAAGGAAGAAGGCGAGGGAGAGATGGAAGCCAAAAAGGAACACAGAAACAACTGCTGTAAGAAGCATTGCCACTGAAGTAGAATACACCTGTGTCAATTGGAAAGTTAATCACAAATCTGAATTCTACTCCAAAGGTTTCTTCTTGTGCTAATAAAGGTGTCATAATTCATAACGTTTGAATAAACAAAGAAAAATAATAGAAAGCACACATTTATATTGCATTTGATGAAAAACATCCATCATAATGAAGCTCTAAACAGTGGGTACGAAACAAATCTTGTGTGCAGTTTCATTAAGTGAGATCTAAAATTCTACAATCAGTATTATATGACAATGTGTTCAGATTTCCAACTCATCTATAACCTCAGATTGTTTCCCACTGATATTAATTTTGTTCTATAAAATCTTGCTGAACATACAATGCGATCAAATGATACAGAGATAGATACAGGTAAAGAAAAGCATAAAACTCCAATGATGGCACTTTCAATGCGAAAAAAGTCAGAGAGATGGAAACTGTTAAGATACATTGGCTAAGAATAGAGTCAAATATGGGCAAGCTTTTTGGAGTGAGTTAGGTTTAAGTTTCTTAATAGAAATGATGGCCACACTTTGTAGCTCCAAGTTTTTCTCTCTTATCCTAATCCAGCAAGTATTCATTTAATCATTTTTTATTGCCAACAGCAATACGCTGGTGGGAGATGAAAAAATGTTGTAGCCTTTTTATGAGTTTTTGTTTTAAAAAACAATTGCAGAATTAGATGAGTTTCTGACAGAAGATGCTGGTGCAACAGAACAACCATGCTGGAGTCTCAAATGAACATATGCAAAACCCATCATAAATCTACCACTCTTATGAAGCTCAGCTGGGAATACTTGGATGATAGTTTCAGTTTCCAAAGCCAGAATCAGTAGCAACTTAATGACACAAATTCAAGTAGAGAACGATAGGTAAATGATAGGAAAAAATAAAGTAGACCAAGGTCAATGAAATTGTAATTTTAGATGAGAGTTCGTATTCTGTTAGCAATCTGTATCTTAAGTGTTCTCATCACCTTTTCCCCTTTCAAAGTTCATCACATTGACGACACCTCCATCCTCTTCAACTCTACCACATCCCTTTGTTTTGTTCAACGGATAGAGAGACCAATTGTCTTTCATGTCGCAGAAGATATAAAAACAATTGTTGGAAAGTACCTCCTATTCAGGAAAAATATATCCTATTTTGGGGATTGGATATTTGCTGTTCATAATTAGGATTTCATTTGTATATATATTCTGATCTATGTTCCTATTTTCCTAGATTTCTGAAATTACAGCCAGTAAATCATGTTATATATACTCAATCACAGTAAGTATTTCCCCAAGCAGTTCAGAAATCTTTTCTCCCTCTTCAAGGATAATGATAAGAAAATTAATGATGAAATAATAACAGAGTACAATGATGGTTAGACAAGCAAGAAATTTTAATATATTTGCCATTTAACAATTGCAGATCCTGAGGACAACCATCTAAGGAACTTTACCAAAGCTGTGTCCATAAAGAATAGCAGGGATCTGCAGTATAGTAACGATATCATACCCTCCAGCCAAACTAAGACCCACAAGAGTATATAATCTATTCCTGCCGGATTTGTAATCATTTGACCGTTTTTATAATCAGTATGATCTTAAAATCCAGGGACAAACAATAAAGAGGTTAATTGGATGAAGCATGTTTAATTATATGAACAATTCCAAATTATAAAAGATTCCATGATCTTAATTAAACTCATGAAAGTTTCAAATTCTACTGATGTAATCGCGTGTAAGTTTTAAGAGGTTTAAGTATCATAACATGGAGTCAAAAACCCAAGCCTTACCTTCACAATGTTGTCAGCATACTTCATTACCATTGATACAGCAATTCCACTGGAAAAAGAAACAACCAGGTAAACACATTAACAAGAAAGTGAAAACTTTATATAATAAAACAATGAAAATATGTGCTTGTATTCGCTTGAAATGAGATGTTCACATTTTTTGTATTGTGAAAGAGATAGAAACAGACACGCAGAAAGAGAAAGAGAGAGGACTTGATGAGTAAAAGGAAAATAGCTTAAAAATAACAACAGTTGAAATTGAAATCAATACAGATAAAGTTGAAATAAGGCCTGTTTCATGTAGTTGGCACTTGGCCCTTTCTGGAATTTGATTATTCCCAGTTTCATTTCATCCACCTTCAAAACTCACTGTGGCTTCATCTCTTTGCTTCTCAAACTCTATATCTTAGCTAACCTTCATTTCAGGATGAAGCAACCACAGAAGCACCCAACAACAACAACAACAACAATAATCAAGCATTGTCTCACTAGGTGAGGATCACACGGCATCATTAAGCTCAATCAAAAACTAAATTTTCAGAGATCTGGTTAATCAAAAGTTTTTTTTTTTAATAACATCGTTTAAGGTTCTTTTAGGTCTCCTTCGACCTCTTTATATGGACTAAGAGTCATACGATTCACTTTCCATATTGATGCCTCCAAAAGCCTTCTTTGCACATGAACTGTAGGTGCTACTCTAATATTCTCCTGTATACTATCATTTTGTATCTTATCCTTTCTCGTTTGTCCACTCATCTACCTTAATATTCTCATTTTTGTCACTCCTACATGTCACAATACAACTTTTCAACCACATGTCAAACTTCTTTACTCCTCACTATCCCATGTTAGTGGAGTGGATCTGTTAGGATCTAATTCCAAAATCTGACTTGCGTCCAACATTGGTAGTATAGGATTCTAACATGGAGCTTATAAGGCCTCAAGTTCTCTAACTGAAGCAGCAAAAACTGCAAAGGAAAATGGAGAGGAGTGGACAATGACTGAAGCAGCGCAAAGCCATAAACGAAGAGGAGAGGCAACCTAAACCAAAACGAAATTAGGGTTACTCTCTCTCTCTCTTTCCTTAACCAATTTTGGATTGGGTCTCAGCACATCGGAGCAAGGCATTTGCCATTGGGATTGGGCATCAGCATTTCGGTCAGTACAGGTAGCTTCATATAAGAATATTATCAGCCGAATCCAACTGAACCAGCCCATACAAACCCAAGCATTTGACCTGTGTCAACCCAGACCTGTGTCAACCCACATGAGCACTAAGGCTATGAAGCGTGGCGGGGATGTTAATATTCAATTCCAAGGAATGGAACCTGAATTTCACATTAAAAATATAAGATCCTAGTATGGGGTTTATAAGGCCTTGAGATCTACAAATACAATGGGTAGCCTTTGTAATGTAGTTCTTCCAAGGTTCTAATCAAGATTCCAACAATTAGATACACAACTAAGAATAGTAATTAAGGAAAAAGCTTCCAGCTTTCAATAAAACTTATAAAGCTCATCATCTACCTGAGTGCATGGTTGAAAATCATGAGAATTGTGATGAACGAATATCCATGGAAGAATCCCCTGAATATAGACAACATAAGACATAAGACAGATATTGTTGATGTGACAATTTAGTCCATAGAAGTACAATGACAATTTATAATTCTTTGTATTGACTCATGATCAAACAACATTTGAGTTATCCATTTTCATAGGAAGGAAACATTTTTTACATATATGAAAACAAGAAAATTGGAGCAAATATTAAAACAAACCAAAATCTGAAAGGAGAGGTCAAATTACTTGTTCATCACTGCATCAAAATCTTGAACCAACATTGCAATAGCATTGAAGCACATGCCAAAGACATACAACCAGAAGTTCTGAACATTTATGTTTCGTGAAGGACGCTTTTTAATAATAGCCTGCCAAAAATTATATAAAAAATTTACTAAGCCATGATTGATCAATGATCACTAAAAACTCTAACCCAATGCTATAGTTTTAGTGCTCAAAAACCTTATTTTAAAGCAGACTAGCATGTCCAATGACTAATCAAATCTAGCTCAAGTAGTAACAAATTCATGTAGAATAATTAAATAATTTGAACTAAATATAAAAAGGGTTTGACTGGAGATTGGAGTGGAGTGTCATTTCACGAAACCTCAAGCGGATTAATGTAAGTGCTCTAAATTAAAATAACCTCAGTATATACTCCTGCAAAACCACTCAAGAGAGCCATGACCTGAAAAGGAAAAGCTCGTCAAGATCAGTTTCAAGCCATAAATTATTACTTCATATTTCTAACGTGAGAACAACACAAATGTTAACAACTCACGATTGCCATCACCCAACCTTGAAAGGGAGCTTGAAGAACACGATCAGAACTGAAAACAAAATAAATTTTCTTTTTTCAGACAAATTTAGCAAATAATTATCAATAAAATATAAAACTTTTACTATAGCCTTTATCGGGTAAAAAATGTGTTTAATTTATAGGTTGCAAGTAAGGAAGGAAAAAAGGAGAGAATAGACATAGACTAATAGGATATTGAACTTACTTGGTGTATTATGATGTGATACAGAAGACAAATTGTTAGGAACCCAAATTAGAAAATGGAGAAAAGGAAAGAAAGATTGTATTTCTCAATTAATTGCAAAAGAACAGAACAAAGGAGAGAGAACTCTCCTCCAAGGGTTTTCCTTTCGCAAAGAGCAGAAGCTAGATTCTCAAATGATACAAGACTGAATGAATCATTTCCCTTTACATCCTTCTATTTATTTAATTCACTAAATCGCTAACTAACTAATTAATATCCTAACTCTCTTAAATAACTTCCTAACTCCTAACAATATGATATCATGTTGAAAATAAATCTTGTCCTCAAGGTTGAAATTGTGGATGCTGGATCCACCCAAATAGTTTCTCTAATTGTCTTTGTCTAGTAGATGTCACGATAACATGGTGAATGCTGGTTGAAAATGAAAGCAAATGAACCAACAAGCCTGTGGATCAAATCTGACATGTTTTGCATTGTAGACTTGTAGTGCTTTTCTCCCATAGACTTGCGCTCTGCCAATTAATTCTGAGAATGAGTTTGGATGGCATAATTTCCAATTTTCTGTTTCACCTTTATGAATCCAATTTCTACAACCCATTAGGTAAGAATTTGAACCCAATTTGCACAATTTCAAATTTGCCCCTTCCTCTTTCTCGTTCTTTGCAGCTCTAACAGAGTGCTTCTTTGTGTCCACCCATACCATGGATTAAAAAGTCATAGTCTACACACGATCACCATCAATCTAAAGGCATAATTAACAATTCAATATCAGCAAGAAGAGACTGGAGCTATGGCTGAGGTGCTTTTTTGGGCTGGTTGTGAGTTGTGACTAAGATAATGCCTGGATGCACCAGAGGGGCTAGAATTAATAATCAACGGCAAAAAGAAAAAGAATAGAGGATCAGCATAGGACGTGTCTCACAATAAAAAGAAATACAAGAAGAAATCATTGAAGAAGTTGCAGCAAAAAGGGGAAGACCTGCAAGTATGAACTATGAAGAGACAGGAAGAAGGAGCAGACTTAACAGAGATTAAAGGGCTGCCTTAAGTCATGTTGGGGTACTGCAAAAGCAAATGCTTCACTGCAAAATGCATTCCCTACTGGATATGGGTAGTGAAAAGGGACTCTCAGTATTAACTAATTAAGCACAATATTCTTATTCTTCTCATACACATTGCATTCTTCTCCTAGTTACTAGATATTGCAATCTGAAGCACATAGGAAATGGTGTCCATAATTAGTGTTATAAATAATTACTATGCTCATGTACTAATAATGCACATAAAACAAATTACTTTTGTGATAACACACATTTCCTCAAACTCTGTTTCCTTCCCATGTCCTCCAACAGCACCTCTACCAATTGTTTCATTTTTTTATGTTGTCTTCCACAGCCAGACATTTTGCTAGTGCCATTCTCCTCTGTCAGTTAACTTTTCTGGCAATATTCAACTGTTGGCAACCTCCAATCAGCCCCAAAAACCACCAACCAAACTCCAGAGGTCCAAACACAACTTCCTTTGCCTGCACTCCAACACACCATTGTTCTGGTGGTTTCTCCACATGCCAAGCATGAGAGCTGTGAAGCCTCCTTTGGCTACCAAATTTCTCCAGCTACCTCATTGGCTCCTTTTCTTTTTTAACCTCATTTTCCTCTTCTCAGACCACTACAACCCACCAACCCATCTCTCTTCTGTGTTTTGTCCATTATGCCAAAAAAAATACCCTTCCCTGACACATAGCTTAGCTTTGGCTTAAATATATTTATGATCCCTACATTTTTGCGAGATTTTGATAATAGTCCCTAAAAAATTTAGTTTAGTCCTCGATTTTTCTAAATTCAACATTTTTTGTCACTAATGATGACATACCTAACTAAGAAGTTGTCACGTGTCAATTTTTTGTCACTCCATGTCAGGAAAAGGGACTAAAAGTGCTGAATTTAGAAAAATCAGGGATTAAAACCAAAAAATAATTAATAATAATAATTAAGGGACTACAATTAAAATCTCACAAAAATGTAGACCAAAAACTTATTTAAGCCCTTAGCTTTTTACTGACTTCCATTGTGAAAAGGTGATAGAGACAAGGAGGAAGTAGCCAAAAAAAAGAAAATGCCCTTGTGCAAGAGCCTGCCAAAATCAAATGCAAGAACCATAACTTTTTGAAAAATTATATACACAAAAAGTCCAGCTGCATGCTTTGATCCCCGCTATTTATGCATGATACAAACAAGGAGCTGTTTCTGTAATATCACACATGTTCAAGCAGTGATACTTGCCCCATTACTAACCTATCATTTGTGATCTATTTGTTTGCTACATGCCTACATCACAACTTATACATAAAAATTTCATTCACATACATATTAATAAAGAACATCTATACAACAGCCACGAGAACATAATTAACAAGGTCAATATACTGATACATAAGTGTTGGCTACATGCCAGGCTTGAACTATTCTTACTTTGAATTCAATTGAGCTGTAGTGCACCCTGCAGTGAGTAGAACAAAAGCAGCCCACTGAATCTCACTTAGCCTGAAATGTAATAAGAACATAATGCCAAACAGCATCAGGAACCATGAATTTTTGTTATGTAATCAATTCAATTAAGCAATATAGCATACATAAGGGGGAAGGAGGCGGATTTTCTAGTTCATTTTTGTCCACATAAAAGCTTAGCATGCTGAGGATATGACTGGCATTGATCCTTCACTAACAGTTTCTATGATGAAAGGAGAATGACAACATTTTTTTTTTTGTATTTTAAGAAAGAAAGAACACAAGACTTACCTTTTCTTAAGTATAATTCTGTAAAGGACACCCGTACTTATAATATTTAAGTTCTTTAATATTTGATAGCCTGGAGCATCTACATATGCAAATATGTAATACTGCCACAAAATTGAAAAGTAAATACAATCAGATTTCAGACAATATTAACATATCTGTTGCAATAACAAAGTTGTAGAATAATCCCATTGCTACCATAAGAAACACAACCATCCATCACCAACCTGAAGCAAATTTTTTACAAGGTAAAGTGCTGCTGGAATAGGATACACTATAACTTCATCCAAGGTTGTAATCAACCTAGGTACAAGGCACAAAAACATATCAAATTATTTATTTTTTTTCTCTATAAAAATACCAACAAGGGAAAAAGATATAGTTTCAATAAAAAGATGAAGTTGCAAACACCTAAACACAACAGGACAATTTAAGTGAACCACTGGCCTACACTATTAAAAATATAAATATATCTAGGCTCGTGAACTTCTCTCATCCTTAAGAAGAACACTGTTCAGAACCCCCCCTCCTCCCCCGCCCACACACACACACACTTCAAATAATACCACATAAAAGAACTTTTATTTGTTTTTCAAAAGACAAATATCAAAAAAGTAGTAATGGAGTGGTCCTGGGGAAGATAATTCAAAATCTCGTAAAGACAGTTGTGGCTTCAAAAGTTACATTTGTAACTGTAAGATCATAAAACCTTAAGATTTGATTAACTCGTACTGTTGCACTTACTTGTACACAGTGAAGAATTAAGTTGTAAATCAGATTCACAAGGTAAATCACTACCTTTCTCTTCCAATGAATTAACTATCCAAGTTTTTTCTTAAGGGAATAAGGAAGCCTAGGAGTTTTCAAATGCAATTAACCATCAAATAATTTCAGTTCCAAAAATGTCAAAAAGATGGGATTAAAAATCTTCACAATCATAAATAAAGATATAATACACTGTTAATATTTTCCCTGACTTGATCCCCATTATTGCATAGTAGTTTGAAAGAAATCTAAAAACAACAACAACCACATCAAAGATCACCTATTGTCCTCAGTGACACCTTCTTTGTTCCATATTCTTCCCAAGGCCACCAGGGATATAGCACATTTTAAAGTCTCCACCTATAACCAAAAGAGTAATCAAAATGAATTAATAAGCAAGGTTTAAGTTTTAAGGATTATCAGTGCGTGTTATGAAAGATACGTAAAGCTCAAACAAGTAAAAGAGAATTCAGAGAACGAGCGCATAGGATATCAGAATGTGATAAATCCTCACCAAAAAGTTAGCAGTAGTGACACTGTACTCGTACTTGCCAGCTCTCTTGGACCAAACGATTAGAATGGCTTGTGAACTAGTAAGAATAGTCAATGCAAGTGTAACAGCTGACCTACATCAACAGGGATAATAAGTAAGAAATTAAGCAAGTATTTCAGTAATAACTGTCTTATTATATGCCAATTGTCATACTTGCGCTTCCATTTTGCCCTCGTCCTGAGGCTGTCAACTTTGGTTTCTCCCACGGAGCTCAAATTGTTATCTGGGACTGGAAGAAGAGGAAAAAGCTTATTTGAAAAGGGGAAACACGAAATGGATTTTATGTTAACTCAACTATCCAACCAAGAAAAAAAATTAAAAAGCATACCAGCACCTGACAGCGAAAACGATTTTTCAACGTCCTCAACGCCCGCATCCCTATCTTCATCCTACGACAATGCATCAAAATATTAATTGATGAAAGAAATATGCTAAATAATTCCTCGTCAGTACAGTCACCTCGTCTTTGATTTTCCTGTACTCCATTTATTTCGTCAATATCACAGAGATCTACGCTTTACTCTGAGCACGAGTTCCGCATTGACGAAAAAGAGTTCAAACTGTCAAAATTCTCTTTCCTTAATCCAACAATGCCAACAGATCTCCGCTGCTCACCAAGTATCATCAGTCCGGCCTCTTTATTCTAACCTCTATCGTCCACATCTAAAATCATCTTGTGCAAATGCACGGGTCTGAAATTTTCAATTTATTAATTATAATATCATAAAAATTATTGTATGCTTTTAAATATTACAACAAAAAGAGTAAATTATTTATTTAATTTCTTTTACATTAAACGACACCAATTTTTTATTTTTTATACCCAATAAGTCTTTAAAAATTAAAAAATTACAACAAAGACTACAACAATAAAATAAAATATTATTATTCAATATTTATAGAAAAGATTAAGTTAAATTCATTTGAAATAATACAAAATGTTATGTAATGTAATTAACGATAAACTAATTATAAAAAAGTATTTTTTTCATCATTTTAACAATACTTTATTTTAATTAACTGTAAATAATATTATAATGAATAATTATTACTTACATGTAATAATAATTATTCTGTTATTAATTATATATATTTTGGGATGTATATTTTTTTATTTTTAATAGAATAATTATTTTAATTTTATCAATCTTAACACACATAAAATAATTTTATCGAATCATTAAATATTTATTTATTTTCTATTTTCTTTTCTTAATTTTGTTGCATTTTTCTAACTGACATGAAGAATTAAAGCATGTTTATTTTATTTTAAAATAGTTTTTAATTTTTAAAAATAAAATTTAGTAATAATGAGAATGGTAATAATGAATGATATTGGTGATAAAAAGAAAGAAAAAATAAAGTAAGTTATATTAAATGTGTAGAGTGTAAAAGTCAAAACATGTATTACTAACCATTATGTAATTCTCACTTATAGTGTTGGCTCAAATTCTTTACGAGAAAGTAAAAAACTTAAACTTTATATTCTCTTCTATGCTTATAAAGTGATATTAATTTTATTTGTAGTAAGGTATTTATTGTTTTTATCACAATATTTTACAAGTCGTAGTAACGAGTAATTGAATTAAATTTTAGAAGTTAAACAGGCATAATAACATGTAGCACAATCTTATATATTTAATCACATAATAGATTAAATTTACTAAATGATGACATATGATACAATTGTGTAATTTTGTTTACATTGAAGATAAAATTTAATTAAAAATAAATTTTATTGTAAATAAATATTACAAAAAAATTCAGAAAATATATTTTAAAATATATTATTTTAAAAAATTATTTTTAAAAGAACATTAAAAAGTAATAAGTCTCTTTTCTCTATCTTGATCAATATTAGAAGCTTAACGCTTTGATAGATAGTGATTTTTTGTCCATAAAAAATATAATTACTAAGCGTGAATATTTAGTTACACTGTTAATGTGTTATATCAATATGATATATATAAAAATATTTATCTTTTTTTTAGTATTTATCTTTTCACTTCAGGCATTTTAAGATACTTGTACATGCTATTTAAACTGCGACTAAATATTAATATGTTCGTATAAAGTAATGAACAAAGTTGGTATTTATTAAATAATATGGCTTGGTATTAATTTTTTTCCCCAAAACAGCTATACTTAGTTTTACCACTTCCATTAATTTTTATTTCTATTTCGTTTTTCCGTTGAAAGAGTATTAGAGGCCATATTGAACTCTAGTTGAATTGCAATAGCATATTATCATACATTTGATATTTACTAGCTAGTATCAAGGAGAATCAAATAACATTGAAGCTCCTCTACGATCAATTACTTTTGCCATATATGTTCCATTTGGTCATAAAATTTACTAAAGATGTTTTTTGGCATAATTTTAAGTAAAAAATAAGGTATAAATTTTATGTTCTGTTTATGCATAAGAATATAAATGAATTATACAATAAATTTGAAAGAAAATAAATAATATTGTCAACATTTTAAGAACATTAATTAAAGAATAAAAAAATAATATTAAAAATCATGATAAATATGTATTGATAATTTTTTAAAAGTGACTTGACATTTTCACAAACACAATATGAGGCGAGAGGAGAGGCAACAATTATGATTGCCAACCAATAAACCAATGAGCCATTTGCTCCTCTCCATTGGATCTAATAATTAATCGAAAATTTGCAAACAAATTAAGCACCTCACCGAACCGACAGTGAATTTAATGCGACCAGACAACTTCCAAGTCCAAGGATGACATAAAGTTAAAGAAGAAAAGAACTAAAATTGCAACACATCACCCAACGCAACACAGCACACTGGATGGGGAGAGAGAGAGAGAGAGAGAGAGATGCGAATGCTGAATGGGGACTGACCCCACAAAAGGAATAAAACAGGCTGTGGTAGAGCTGTGAGCGATCCATTTCACCATTCATATTATATTATTATTATTATTATTATTATTACTACTACAATATCTGGACTTTTCAAAGCTTAGCGAACAGCAATAAGCAGAGACGCACAGGCATTAAACGTTGGGTTGGGTTTCATTTGCAATTGCAAGCACCGACACCATGAGCTCCATCGCTCAGAAGCGGAACTTGTTCCCGAATACTAAGCCATCGCTTCCAGTGTCGCGTTCAGACTCAAAACTAGAAGAAGGAGGCCTTCGAAGACGTCTTTCTTCCTTGTCCCTTAAGATCCAAGGCACCCCTGAAGCTGCAGCTGCAGCTGCATCCTCTTGGTCATTTCCAAGATCCAAGTCCCTCTCATCTATGGGTCACTATGCGGGCACCTCTGTAAGGAAATGGTGGGATTGGAGCTGGGCTTGGATCCTCTCCAGAAAGCCCATCTTTGCTACAGATCTCGAAATGAACGACCAAGAAACCAAGCTCCTTGGTTCCCACAACAGGGGCACTTTGAGACATGTTTTCTACAAGTTCCGCTCTGAGATCAGAAGATTCATCACTTCTGATCATGCCACTCTTCCTCAAACCTACGCCAGGACCACATAATCCATTTCCCAACACAATCCATCCCATTCTTCCTTCAAATAATTAATTTAGTCTTTCAGATCCTCCATGCAAATTACTATTGGTACGGCTAGCTAGCTTATGCAATTCATTTGTTCTTTCCCCCTTCATGTACAATATCTCTTATAAGCCTGTCTGCAATTACTTTCATGTATAATTGGTTATTGCTATTCTATAATCTATATTGTGGGTTGGGATAAAATTACCTGACTGATTATCTTACCTTAGCTGCTGTCGGTCGAGGGTTTAGATTCAGTAAAGTTGTTACAGCGTATTATATAATATTGTAAATGTAGAATAGAACTTGCCAACCTACAAGATTATTTCTTGCTACAACGTACGAGATCGATGCATGTTTTATAATTATAAGGACCTCTCTTCTAAAACATAGGAAAATGTGGCACCAACTACGGTGCCGAGTAATTCGTAACCGTGCTTATATAATGATTCACATGAATATTCTAATTTTAAACTTTGTTATTATGCAAGACCTTGCTTTGAAATTCGAGTTTCCCTTCCGACTTCCTAGCTGGCTCATATTTTCATGTGTGTTCAATTTAATTTCTCCACTATTTCTGTCTGTACGTTGAATCGAATGTTTGAAATTCAATGTGAAACAACATAATTTCATTGAAGAACCATACCTGATTAGCCACTTACCTTGTGATGCCGTTTTACGTTGCGGTTACGACACAGGAGTTAAGCTGCCTCCCACGGTTCCACCACCCAACACCGCATGCCTTTGCTTTGTGTCCGAGTCGGTGCACCTTTTCTTTGTGCGAAAAATAAAATAGAAAAGATAATTACATGGTATGTTATTAAAAAATAATTATAAAATGTTACATATGAAACTCTTTTTTTTTTATTTTTAAAGTAATAGAATTATTTTACTTTTTTTAAAATTACTTTTGAATTATAATTATTTTTTAAAATAAAAGAGTTGTTTTTATAATTGTAAGTAATAAAAATAAATATACTTTTTATAAAAACTCGAAAAAATAAATTTATTTTTTTAAAAATTTAAACAAACAGATCCTTTTTTATATTTAAAATAATTTATAAATAAATTTTATTAAACAATTTCTTAATTATTTAAGTAATTTAAAAATAAACATTATAAATGAATCCGTTATTTCTCTTTTCACTGCCTAGTTGATAGACAAGGCAAGCCAGTCATTTAGTATGGTTTGACGTATTATCATAATTGTCAATCATTTGGTATGCCAAGGTCGGTGTATAACTTTCTTTCTGGAATCTTCTTCGATGGTCGCAACAGTTTTGGTGCGTGGAATGTTCCTAAGAATAATACAGGTTAATTTAATAATAAAAGTACTGTAAGTGTTAAAAAAAATGTACTTTTAATTTCTTTACTTTTAAGTTACGTGTAATTTTTTAATTTTTGTGAATAAACATTACACATAATTTTGAGAAATTAAAATTTTAATTATTCAAAATAAAAATTCTAATTTAAATTATTCATATTTAATTTTTATAAATTCTTCATAATTTAAATTATGTTTCTTACTCTAAAAATTTATTCAATAAATAATAAAAATATAAAAAAAATATAATATATTATTAATTTTGTAAATTAAAAATTATATAAAATAATTAAATAAAAAATAAGCAAACTATCATTATATTTTTAAATTTATATAAATCAATAATATAGCATACCTTTATATTAGAAGTGATTTGGCGGTTTTTCATTGTTATGAATTAATAACGATGAAAGTGACATATTCTTATAATAATGATTTTAATTATTTATTATATTATTATCACTTAAAATTATGTTTTTGGAAAAATAAATTTTTAATTTATTTTTTTATTGCATAAAATTTTTTATTATATAAATTTTAATCATTATCATTAATTTATTTATAAAGTGTGAGAAGAGTGTTTATTTTGATTCTGTTTAATGATATTTAATTATGAAACTTGAATTGGGGAGTTTTATTATTAAAAATAAATTTAATTTATTTATAAGAATGATTTTTTCACAAAGTATATATATTTAGAAGAATATATATCAAACTTTCATAACTATTAGTAAAAATACCGATGCAAGTATACCTAATTATATTTTAAGAAAGATACTATTTCTTATATGAAATTTTTACTGGAGATGAAATTACTTACAAATTATGACATGACATAAATAGAGAGTTACCGTTATATAAAATTACTCTTAAAAAAGAAGTTACTCTTAGAAGACAATCTATTAAAGTAGAGTTGCTTTACACTTTAATTTTATAGTGTAATATATGTTTTATTTATATTTTAAAAAATTACTATTTAATTTTTTATGTGTGTATTTCATTATCATAATTGTGAACTAAAAGTAATATTTTATTTAACAATGTAAATTTATGAACTTTTGATTCATGTTCAAATTCTTTTAAATATGATTAGTATAAATTTTTTTTATTGAATTGACTTGTTATAAGTAAGTTATACAATTATGAATTACTGGTGTATATTTTTATTGCAGTTATAAATTACTAGAAATTAAATTAGTAAATATTTTAACATTTACAAATAAATTTTTTTATGAAAAAATTATACAATAATTATATTAAAATTATAAAAATATAATAAATACTTATCTTTTTAATAAAATTTTATTATTATTAGTTGCTTATCTTTGGTCTTAAGAGCTAAAATTATCAAGACATTTTTTGTAATTTTCAATGAACTTTAGTCAATAATAAAGAGTGTGTTAATGAAAGTGTTGGTAACATTTTTTAATATTTAATGTACTACATGATCATTTTGTTCAATGCTAAAGACATTTACAAACAATAGGGACTAATGCATGAGATTTTTAAATAACTTTTGAGACTATAACAAAATTTCTATTATATTAAAGACAACTGAAAATGAGTTACAAAATTCGGAATAAAAGTTGATGATTTACTCTTAAAGAAAACCTCAAACTGAGACGAGTTAAAAGAAAACCTCGGAGGCGTAACAAGTGCTCCATATCCGACTTTGTTACAAACTTTGGAGAATGTTCATCTCACTAAAAATTTTGTTTTACTAGTAGTTCAAACATTTAACATCATTATTAAATTATATTTAATCTCATTAGCCAGTTTTTTGTTAGTCTTTATTATTTATGTTTTAAAATGTAACTTTATTAAGAGCATGGATTTAATATTTGTTTAGGCAAGAAAAATCCAGCTGGGAAATAATATGCTTCCACTATCACTTTAACACAATGCATGTGCTCCGACATAATCCAGATAGGCTTTTTAGTTCGCCCAATACATCATGTCCATGCGTGTGAAACTTTACATCCGTGAAATAAAAAACCTGAAAGATCAAAATCCTTCTACTTCAACTATAGACAGAGTTCCCCTACATGAAAGCACAGAAAAATAACAGATCAACATGAAATAGCTGTTAACACTTTAACACTGAAGTTTACAAAGCGAGAACCAATTTCTGCAGTCATTCAGCACATAAATGTAACACTTGATAAGTGCTTATGCGAGAGCACCCACAATCCTGATTGTTCTTCATGCCAAAGGATCTCTCAGCAGGATATGAAACAATTTTTTTGTAAAGATCTATGCTTTAGTTTTCTCTTACTGACTTGCGCTGCATACAACCTGCCAAAATTGCATACCAGAATATAGGACGGTTGACGTTAACATTGAGAGTAATACAACGTCAAAAACTGTTCAGTTAACATTTGTTTTAGCAAACTGCCACATATAAACTATACAGAGAGAATTTGAGATGCATTATTCAGCAACAGATATTGGTTCTGGAACTTTCACAAGAAGCAGAACCAAGAATAATGACTGGAACTATATTTACAAAAATGCCTATATGGGAGTCCCGCTCCCACCCCAAGTTCAGTCTTGGGATTACATCTTTCTTATAAAACTATTGCTACCATACAAATAATTACAAGAGGTTCGTAGGCCAGTTGGTTAGCATGGCAACTTCAATTTATACTTCCATAACTCCAGCCAACCTAAAACCTTAAAAACATTATTTTTACCATATACGCCCATTGATTAAGAATACTTGCACCTGCATCTTAGCTCCGTCCATACTTCGATAGAAATAATACTTCTTATATTCCCAAATTCAGATATCAAATATATATAACCCCAGCCCCCAAAAAATTAGAAAAGAAACATGGCAAGAATGTCTCTTTCGTTGCATCATCTCTTTTACTGAAGAACCTTTGCGAGACAGAAGTATGTCTAATTTTTCATCTTTGGTAAAATCTGAGTGATAACTGTTCTATTAATAGATTCACTCAGAAGATAGTAAATTCTTAGGAATTGATTTCTCTAAAGCAAATGATGCACCATAAAGGGTAAAACACAAAGTTACAACTGTTGATTGAAATTTTCACTTTATAAGTTGTTGTACATGTGCATGTATTTCATCACAACATCAACCATTGATTTTTCAGTAAATGGTTATAACTTTGCACTTAAATTGCTGAAGTGTATTCCTAGCTTAAAAGGTGCCAGATCCAAATTCTTAATCCTATCTTCTTCCTGCCCCTTGTGCTCTTCCTCTACACAGAATCTGAATTTGTTATTTCCATCTATATTCGTAATAGTATAATTAACCTTTCATTCCCTGTCAATATTTCTAAACACCGCCATAAAAGCACTTGTAATTGTAGGAACCAAGCACACTGGCTGAAGATAAAAAGGAAGTGTTTAATTGGAATTTTAGAAATCAAAGCAGTGGGATCTAAGCAATTATAGGAAAAAATTTGCCATCCATCACATTTGAGGGTATTGACTAATGACAGCTCTATTTTACCCCAAGCCAAAAGTACCTGTACATAATGAGCACAATTAGAAGCTATTGAGCACTTGATGCATCTCTCATGCTCAAATTCAGACTGTTGCGCATGGTCCTCCTACCAATTCCAGGGTTGCCTTTTTGCATCATGGCAGCAAATTCACCATAATCAATCCTTCCATCCTAAAACAAAAAGGTATAAACAAAATCACAGAGCAGAATTGTACGACGAGGGTGCAGGAACTTGATCCAATTAAATATCAATAGGGAACAAAGAATCATGCTTGTCAAATTATTAGAATTCAGGCATTTGATATTTAGAGTGTATTTAAGGCATGATATAATTTTGCTTAATTAGTTGTTTTTCCCAAATTCAACTTTGACCAGAAAAATGTTTAATGGATAGATCAAGCATTGGTCCTAACTACATAGAGCCAAACACTATAATAACCTGAAAAAAAAAAATCATTTATTGAAGGAAAACAGCTTAAAATACCTTATCCACTGGTATTAAGATATCAATCTCAGATGGGAATTCAAACAAGAATTGATAAGAAAACCCTCAGAAAACAGAAAAAGAAAAGTAGTGATAGTGTGATACTACATAGCTATCTTGTCATCAATCCTGCTCAGAGTCCGCTGATTCTCAAGTTTGAGAGACCCAATCCATTCAGCTAATATATTGTCAGAAATGGATTATCGGCCACCTCCATATACTATATTTTAAAAGGGTTTACTTACAGCAAGCTTAAAGCTTAATTAGCTTTAGCTTGAGGTGGCATGTTAGAATATCTCATGACATCAATATTATATCTTAGAATTATTTAAAGTATCCAATCTTATAATATATAGATTCTATGCTAGAATATTTTAAGGTATCTTAAAAATTATTTCTTAGGAATCATTTCTCTATTTTCTAAGTTTCCATATTTCCTAATATATCATGATGTGTTTCTTTAATTAGTTGGAATTATTAGTATAAACAGGGGTGAGTGCTTTAGGTTTTATCATCATATGCAAATCTCATTGTAATATATCTCAGTTGATGTCAATTTATAAACTCATTCTCTTTTATCTCTGTTGTTCCCCCCCTATGCCAAAATCAACACTTGCTATACACTAACCATTCACACCAAGTTACATATGTAAAATAGGGTTAGAACAAAAGCCTGACAACCAGGTGCAATCACAAGGGTTGTTTTTAGTAACAAAGGAATGTGAGCAATACACTTTGGGTGAATTTCATGTAGGTCCAAACTATTTAGTGGGTCTCACAAGAAATTCACCCAATAATTGAAGATGTATTTGAAAAATATTTGCAACGTCAATTGTAACAAGTAACAACTAAGCAATTTTGGCAATAATAGTTATCTAAAACTACTTATCATCAAACATTTTACCATGTCTTTGACTATCACAACATAACCCCTATAACAAAATAATCGCAAACAATTAACACATCTCTATGTTTTGAATATAAACTAATTACTATTATTTTTTCATGTCCCTTTTAAAGATTTTATGAGGCTATATAGTTTTTATGGATACTATTATAATTTATCTAGAACATCATTTTGAAATATGAGATACAATCTTCCCTTAGTATGCATCCTAATTGCTACAAGAACAATTTTAGATGTAATATATATTAATATTGATTTGTTAAGAAACTTTAGGCCTAACTCACTCCCAAAAACTAACTCATAAGAGGAGAAATACCTTAACTCTTATAAGAAGTATTCTGACTCTATTCCTAACTAATGTGAGACATCTTAATACACACTCCTCACACCCAGAACTACTTTAGTCTTTATAAGGAGTATTCTGACTCTATTCCTAACTAATATGGAACATCTTAACACACCCTTCTCACGCCCAGGACTGGATATCTGCTGCGTGAAATTTGCAGGACTAGACATCTATATTGATGAACCCAACAAAATTAGATATCTGTGGGCAGTCCAACATTCAAACTGAATAGACTCTGATACTATATTAAGAAACTTTGAGCCTAACTTACTTCCAAAAGCTAGCTCATAAGAGGAGAATAACCCTAGCCCTTATAAAGAGTATTTTGTCTCTATTCTTAACCAATATGAGACATCTTAACATGATTAATCAGAAGTAGATTTAAAGAATTAAACTTCTTACAGGATTAAGGTGGTAGATAACAAAATTCTAATAGCTTTGAAATGAAACTCCAGTTAATGTAGGATAAATGCAAATTAATATTGCTTACAATATGCAAGCATTCTTTCACTGAAGATTAGATTTCAAAACACACAAAAAATAAAAATAAAATTAATGTTAGTAAAAGTAGAGAAAATGTGAAAACTAAATGCACATTTTTTCAGGAGGATATACATAATACAAAACTGTAAGATCTTTCAAAATTAACTTCTAATAGCCAACAAGGATTTCCTATGTGAATGTAACACAACTAAATGACTTACATTATCTTGGTCAACTTCCCTTATAATATCTTCAAGAAAAACATCTGTCATGTTATGTTCTGCACAAGCTTGTTGAAGTTCATCAACTGTAATATAACCGCTACCATCTTTGTCAAAATATTGGAATGCTGCAATAAGATGTTCTTCACGCTCTAGTTTGTTGAGATGAACTGTTGCAGCTATAAACTCCCCATAATCTATGGTTCCACTTTTGTCCACATCAGCCTGAAACAGCTCAAACATTTTAGCTGAGTGGAACAAAATCAAAGATTATTTAACATGAATGAAAGATACAGATTAGAAATGAAAAATGGAATCATGTAAAAATGACAGACTACTCCATGGTTTTCCACAGTAACATCACACTATTAATGTGCTTCAAATAATTTTATGGTTGGTTGAAAAAAACATTTTGTTTTCATTTCCTATTTTCACTAATAATTACAAAATTGTCACATGTACAATTCTTTGAAAATAGGAAAAAAAGTGATAATTGTATTTATTAGCAAAACAGTAAACATTTTCTCAAACTAAACAGCTTCAAGGTGTATTGACCTATTTGAAGGTCCTTAGGCAATATAGACTGTTAAATAGACTTTCAATATGCTAACTAGGCCAGAGGGCCAAAGAAGAAAAAGCCAATATAAATAAGAGACCAAACAAAGGGAAGCAGTTTTAGCCAAACAGAGGTGACCTATTTAAGCAAAGTCTGGCCTAAAATATTTCTTCCCCAAGTTTGGGGTTAGAGTGCTAAACTAGAAGGGGCATTTACAAGAGAATGAGCAAGGGGATCCAGATTCCAAGGTCTTCTATCAACTCTTGCTTAAAAGTAAATTGACTCAAGTAAAAGCATAAGGGATAGAAACTCACCTCTATCACTCAAGTTTCTACTGAAGGGAAGATCCCATTCTATTCAAATTAAATGAAAGATAAGTGTTCTCATTGATAAAAATAAAAAACCCAGTACTTAGATACACCAGGCCAGAGTACCAACTACAAGCATCCCTTTACTAGCATAATTAATAATTAATAAAGGTTAAACCTTGAGCTATATGGGCATTTTAAATAAGTCCCTATACTTTGAAAGTCTGTAACTGGGTCCTTGAACTTGTAAATAATTTTTAATTAGATCCCTCTGTTAGCTTTAGGTCACTAGTTTTATTATTCAGTCAGTCTCTAAATTATTTAATAATTTATAATTAGGTCCCTATACTTAACGAAATCCTAAAGAAAATGCAGTCAAGAATGATTTAAAAATTCAAGGACCTATTTATAAACTTTTAAATTATTTAAAAATTTTCAAATAGTTAATTTAACTAAGAATAAAAGTTATTAAATGGCATTATAAAAAGCATTCCTTTGCTAGCATACGAAATAATCAGAAGGGAATGAAACATATTTATGAGAAGTATTTGTTCATATAAAAACGTGGCAAGCAGCAAGCATAATTACTTACGTATATATCAACAATTAAGTCCTATCATTTACTGCATTAACTTTTTGAGTTTTAGCACATGTATCAACTCTCCTAACATGTAACATATCCAAAGCGATAAAATAATGTTAAAATTTTCTTATCATCAGTGGTTGGTTGTCAAATGCACATCATAAACATAAACCGGTGACTTGGCGAGATACAAGACTTGAACCTTAAACCATCCCAAGCTCAAAAACCAACTAGGACATGGTGCATTGGCCCAATATATATATATATATATATATATATATATATATATATATATATATATTTATTTATTTATTTATTTATTTAATGGAATATGTTAACCTCAGCCCCTAGGGCTGACGATAATCAACTAATTATAATAAAATTTTACTTAAAAGAGAAACATTTATTGCACTTTGAAAACTTTAATGTAATAAATATGTACTTTTTCCATAAAAATTTTCTATTTACATATGCTTAAACTCAGCTCTAAGGGGCTAAGTTAACAAAACCTTTATTTAATTACTTAAATACCAAATCCTCTTTCAACATTTCCTTCTTGAGTTATGTCCTCAACATGTCATAAAGATTGAAGAAGAATCATACAACAGAGAGAACGACAAACAATAAAATTCAAACATACAAAATACAAAGAAATATATAAGAAAATAATAAAAGATTATATATTTCTAAAAACATTTTTCACAGAACTAAAACCCTACCGCTTCCATAAGATCGCGTATTTCTGTGTCCTTAAGGGTAGACCCATATCTTCTTAGACCAGCTTTCAGTTCATCAAAAGTGATTGCACCACTGTTATCAGTATCCATGGCCTGAAACATTTCTCTTAAACCAGCAATCTCCTCTTCTGAGAGACTTTCGGCAATTACCTAAAAAAATAGCATAATAAGAAACCATAATTAAAGTTACCAAGTATTAGCAAACAAAAAGATAATAGGAGAAGGAGAAGTGAGAGTAGAGCAAGTGAAGAAACTCAATAAGTTGAGGTTTATTTGGCATCCAGGAAGTGCAGTAAAGTGTGTTGACTCCACAAAGGCAACAATAACTCTAACATGTCATATATGGAATGCATTATCTTTTTCATAACAATGTACGAGCTACATTATACAATCTAATACTCAATCATCAATTAGTTTCACTTACCCGCAAAGCCATCTTCTTTAGCTTATTCATTGCAGAAAACTGTTTAAGGCGAGAAAGAACAGCAGGGTCAAGTGCTCTGTCAGGTGCAACTCCATTTTCACATATCCAAGGATGACCTAAACAGGCACAACAAGTAACATCTTCAGACAATCACATTGAAACACAATATTTTGAATATTTGCAAAATTTAATCCATTCCTTAGTTTTATAAACCTGACAAACATATTAGATGGGAGGACCATTTCTAATGCTCAGCCCCTTTACCACATCTATAATAACATCCACTGAGTAAAGATAGCAACTAGTCCAAAAGGTTAAAAAAAAAAAAAAACAACTATATTTTCATGTCAGAGCGGTCCTTGTTTATTGTAAGTGTCGAAGAAAAAAGGATAAACATACATAACACTTGATGAGCAGTCAGTCGTTCTGAAGGCCGACAGCATAACATCTTTCTAATCAGATCTTTTGCGCTATCTGATATTAGAGGCCATGGATCGGAGTCAAAATCTATATGTCCTTTCAATACAGCGTCAAATATACCCTGCTGGGTTTCTGAACTCCAAAAGAACAAAACTTTCAGTGATGACATGGATGAAGGACGGGAAATCAAAAGAGTGTTGGCAGCAACATATACCTGCCCAAAATGGTGGCACACCACTAAGCAATATGTACAGTATGACACCCGCTGTCCACACATCTGCTTCAGGTCCATAATGCTTGAGGAGAACCTCAGGAGCAACATAGTATGGACTGCCAACTACATCAGTGAAAACTTGACCTGAGGCAGAAAGGATGGATAAAGAATTAAACAAACACTAAATAGTATTGAATGGTGTCTAAATAATAACTAGAAAGAATGCTGAACGGGAATAGCAGTAAAGTTCAAGAGAAGAGTTACAAGAAATTGTTGGAAGACAGCATCATGAATTCTCGAAAGAGGAATTTTTGCAAATTCAGAGGCACTAAAGAAGATAAAAAGCATGCAGTTATGCCGTACAAATGTGCCTAAGGAGAAAATACAAATATGCAATAAAATAAAAGTAATGTAATTTGTAAAAGAGAAGGAGGGAGAATGATACGAAGAGAAAAGCCGAGCAAGGAATACTTGTTACCTGGTTTGAAGAAAACAGAGAGGCCAAAGTCAATTGCTTTAAGAGAGAAATCATCATCTTTATTGACCAACAGAAAGTTTTCAGGCTTGAGATCTCTATGCATAACGCCAAGGGAATGACATGCCTCGACAACCCCAACAATAATTTTGGTCAATTCTGCAGCCTTCCGCTCCGTATAGTGGCCCCTCTGGATGATGCGATCAAACAACTCACCGCCAGAACAAAGCTCCATGACAATATGAACATAGAGTGGATCCTCATAAGCACCCTTGATGGTGACGATGTTCTTGTGACCAGCTAAATGATGCATTATCTGAATTTCCCGCCTAACGTCCTCCACGTCCTCCTTGGAAATCAACTTCCTTTTGGAGATGGATTTGCATGCATACTCAATGGAGGTAGAATTCTCGGTGCATAAATAAGTGGTGCCAAATTGTCCCTGTCCTAATTTACGGCCAAGAGTGTATAGATCACGAATGTTGGGAGTCTTATGGCCCAAGACATAATACGCTTGGCTATCGAGGCCTCGGCGCATGATGGCGTCTTTCCTGGAGTTGAAGGGTAGATTGTTGTTATTGTTGTTGTTGTTGTTGTAGTCGTTGTTAATGTTTTCAGCAGAATTGGGATGTTGTTTGGTTGGTTGGGGTTCGGAGTCAGGGCGATCAGAATGAGTGTTGCGCTTGGAATGGTCTTCGGGCTGGCTGAAGCCCTGAATATATTTCCCTTTCAAAGATCCACGGCATGTGTTGCCCATCAAACAAACCAATTTAATTATATATTCATCCAACGATCTCTCATCAGCTTCGCTTCGCTGCGATCAGTTCCCAAACAAACAAATCAAATATCAGATTATTCCCTTCTATTTCACACAATCAATCTAACAGAGAAAATAATACAATTAATTAAGCGTACCAGAACCAGAAGGTGAACGAATGGAAAGAGGATAATCAGTTTCCTTTCAATTCTTCCTACTCCCACAGATCTCCCCAAAATTAGTTTCAGCAAAATATTTCTATTTTTTATTTTCCTGTTAATTTTAGGATAGATGGTGATTGTATTGGTTCCTGCCGAGAAACATCCGAAGGTCAGTGCTGACCAGCTACGCACACTTCTCTCTGTAGAATTTTCAATTAAATATCACGCGGCTTTCTTTTTCCATTTCTCTCTCTATTTTTCTTTTTATTTTCTCAATGCTTAGTGAAAAGGGCCCAAAGCCCAACACATAAAAGCAAGCCCAAAAGGCAATCACCCAAAAAGCTCTTTGTAAAATGATATTTCTCTGGGCTTATTACGAAGTTATCTATTAACCTTAACAACGTAAGTCCTGTTCTACTAGTTATAAGTTTTTATTTTTTAATTTTTAAACCTAAGTTTTTAAGTTTCTTTTAGAATAATTTTACCTTATAATACTCTTACTTTACTCGAATGCGATTATTTTGCTTATATAAATTATGTTAACAAAAATTATCTTAATTTAAAAATAAATAATTTTAATTTTAGTTGTAAAACAAGTCATTTAACTTTCATATCTCTTAAAATGCATATAATAATAATAATTATTATTATTATTATCATTCTTACCACTAATTAACTCTCCTCTCAATCATCATCTACTTTTATTAATCAATTATTATTATTCTCACTACTATTATATTTATCATAATAATTATTGTTCTTATTATTATCACAGTTGCTAATTTCGCTAATTTTACTGTTGTTAGTATTATTAATGTCTCTACTATAATTATCACTTATTTTTCTGTGATTAGGTAATATTTACAATGACTTGAATATAAAATGCCTTATCAAATTTATAGATGATAACTTTAAAATACTTTGTTATTATTGTCATCTTAACGTTCATTAATGTTATAATCACTGTTATAGTCACTTTTAAAGTCAACATTTATATCACTGCTGTTGTACCCACTTCCGTTATTATTACCACAACTAATACGCAAATACAACTATTATTGTTTTCTGTCACTACTTGTAATGTAATTACTATTTCACAAATTTATCATTCCTATGATTGTGACTTCTCTTTCCTTTATTTTCATTCCAAGCAAATTTAACGTTAAAAATTATACGTGTAGTATAAATATAAGATTTAACATTAAAATTTGAAAATAAAAAATTACATAAAAAAAAAACTAATAACCAAATGTAGCAAAAAATTTCAATTTTGGTAAGACGAGTCCAAAGTCAGTGATATTTTGAAGTTAAATTTTTAGAATGCAGAAGCTACGTTGCGGAGGAGAATGAGATTCGTTGAAGAGTAAAAATTTAAATTTATATAAATTAAATCAACACAAGACTATTAGACCCGATGAGAGGTGTGGGGGGAACGATGATTCTTTGACATGTAACCGATTGTGATGGAGGAGAGAGGAAGAAGGATATTCGAACTGCTTCACCTTCATTCAGAGCTCATTACTTAGTGTCCAGGGGTGATTGAATAGCAGCGGGAACACTATAAAATAAATGAGCGGAGCTGTTCTGGTTGCGGTGGCTGCAGCTATCGGTAACTTGGTGCAAGGTTGGAATAACGCCAGCATTGCAGGTCAGATTTGCATTTGGTTAGCCAAGGCAATTAAGGTTGTATATGTGTTGGAGATTGAACAGGTTTACATGTGTTTGTACCATGCAGGATGTATTTTGTACATAAAGAGGGAGTTTAAATTATAAAATGAAGCGACAGTAGAAGGTTCGCTTATGGGCATGTCAGGTATTGGAGGCAGTGTGGTTACTACATTCTCCGGACCCCTGTCAGACTTGCTAGGTCGACGTCCTATGTTGATAATCTCGTCCGTCCTTTGTTTTGTTAGTTGTCTTGTCATGCTATGGTCTTCCAATGTTTATATCTTCCTCTTTGCAAGGTGTTTAGATGGATTAGGCGTTGGTTTCGCAGTTACCTTTATACCTCTTTATATATCCGAGAGCGCTCCTCCTGAGATTAGGGGATTACTAAATACTCTTCCGCAGTTCACTGCTTCTGCTGGAATGTTCGTCTCCTACTGTTTGGTGTTTGCTATGTCACTGGCGAAGGCCCCAAATTGCTGACTCATGTTCGCTGTTCTTTCAATTCCCTCTCTCATTTATTTTGCACTCACTTTTTTCTTCTTGCCTGAATCTCCAAGATGGCTTGTCAGTAAGGGGCGGATGCTAGAGGCCAGGAAGGTTTTGCAACGACTTCGCGGCAGAGAAGATTCGCTGGTTAGTTTTCCAACTCTGAACGCAACCCAGATCATGCTTGTTGCTGGATATTCAATTGTTCAATTTCAGAACTTTCATTTAGTGCCTCTATTCTGTCAGCCCAACCTGCTTCATTTTACAAAAATTGTTAGCTATTTGTTTGTGTTGTTAAAGGACTATATGCAAACAGAAATGAGACTTGATAGTTAACTACAATGATACTGAACCATTGACTGTTAGCTTTATCACAGTACCGTGTCTGAATTTGTTAGTGATTGGAATTTTTGTGTAAAGTGGTTCAGAAGTACTTATTAAATTCATTTTTGTTTAGTTACATGAGGTGATAACTTCAATCCTCGGTATCCCTTAAAGAGGGAAAATAAAAACTTACGCAATTAAACATTCAAATGAAAAATACAGAAATATTATGTTACTCGTGATTATTTCAAACCTGTTGGAAAATCAAATCATATTGAAAATCAAATATTTATAATTGCCATTGGTTTTTGAGCTGATTTTCTTAGTGTAGGTGCATTTAGTTTATTTGATCAGTTATTGCTTCGGAATATTTAAATACCTGCTAATTTCTTCGTGTTTACTTGCTTTTGACAATTAATTTGTGCATGTGCATGATTTGGATGCAATTGTCCTTGGCTATGATCAGGTGAGATGGCTTTAATGGTGGAGGGTCTTGGAGTTTGGGGTGATACGGCTGTAGAAGAGTACATAATTGGTCCAGCCAATGAATTGAGTGATGCCGAGGATCTATCAGCCAGAAAAGAGCAGATCAAATTGTATGGACAAGAGCAAGTCCTATCCTGGGTTGCCAGACCTGTCATTCGACAAAGTTCTATTGGCCTTGTATCTTGGAAAGGAAGCATGACAAATCAAAGGGTTCTAGTGGACCCTCTAGTGAAGCTCTTTGGTCGTGTCCATGAGATGCTCCCGGAAACAGGAAGCATGCGAAGCATACTTTTTCGACACTTTCGGAAGTTTGTTTAGTGTCGAGGGAAATCAACCTCGTAACGAAGATTGGGATGAGGAAAGCATGGCCAGAGAGGGTGATGATTACATCTCTGATGCTGCTGCTGGTGATTCTGACGACAATCAGAGAGTCCACTGATCTCACGTCAAGCAACAAGTGTGGATAGGGACATGCCTGCTCCTGGGCAGGGTAGCTTGGGGCAAGGCAGTCTTTTGCATACAGGGATTGGTGGTGGCTGGCAGTTAGCATGGAAATGGTCTGAAAGTGAAGGTTTTTTCAAGAGAATATATTTACACCAAGAAGGTGGTCTTGGTTCTAGACGTGGGTCTCTGGTTTCGCTTTCTGGCGGTGATGTGCCAACACTGACAGGTGGTGAGAAGGTCCAGGCTGCCGCTCTGGTGAGTCAGCCTGCCCCCAGGAGCTTATGCATCAACAGCCTGTTGGACCAGCTATGATTCATCCATCCAAAACAGCAGCAAAAGGGCTGAGTTGGAATGACCTTTTTGAGCCTAGAGTGAAGCATGCGCTGATTGTGGACGTGGGGATTCAAATTCTTCAGCAGGTAATGACATCCTTTTCATGTCCACTATTTTTTATTTCCATGTCCCGTAACATTGTCCTTCAGTGCTTTTATATTCATGCATTGCCTTGTGATTATGCATTACATGTTATGCTCACTGATGCTTGCTTTCATCTTGTTCACTTTCTTAAACAATGAATAGGCTAAGGGCAGGATTAATTCTACACTAGTGCAGTCTTAACTACAGATTTTATATGATGCCCTCATATTGTGTTCATTCATAACTTCTTTGAGCTTCAATTAATGGTGCGCCTCAGATTTTGAATTTTTAATTGGATGACTTTTGCGAGTATCGATTTATAGAAGATTTCATTTTTTAAGCAAAAATTGAACTTGGCTATGTTATTTGAAAGATGTCAGTTAAATTGTTTTGGTTGACGTATTGTTTGAGGGTTTGAGCAAGTCACTTTTCATTTCAAAATATGAAGGTATGGGAATAATTCAAGCGAGTTTTCTTTCTTTTTGGATATGTAAGCAATTTTTTTCTTTCCTTTTTGGTAAATTAGAAGGAAAACAAAAACAGGTTAAAGTGATATTTTATGAAACTAGTATATACATGAGTAAATCTCCCTTCGATGAAATTGTCAGAAAATTATTTAGACATATTTTTAGAATAGGTTTTTTTATTTTTTATTTTTTTTATCTCAACTAACTCAAAACTCCGTTTCAACTTGACAGCATTATGTTTAAACATATTAGAATAATATTATTGGCGAACTACTGCCTGGTACCAAACTCTTTTTTTGTAATTTTTCCAATTGAAATAAATACATATCGGCGAAATTTAAAATCAGGTCCGCATTACAACTTACCTTTTACCGAGTTATAAAATTGTCGTTATTTTGTGAAACTTCGTGCATGAGTTTTTCATATAACAAGTATTACTCTATTATTATGCAGTCAATCTCAATAGCATTTTATTAGGAAATCAACAATATCATTCTTTTTACAATTTAAAACAATTGGCGTAGTATCTAAATGAATTAATGATATATGATAGTAAATCCAACTTTGATGAAATTGTGTTAAGAAGTTTTTGGACATACTTGATTATTATTCAATCCTGAACGATTTGATGACCAAAAAGTAAGAACTGATTGGATTTCAATTCTTTGTTCAATACCATAGAATTTTTCTTATTATCATATGCAATCAATAGCATTTCTTTTTCTCAATATTAACACTCAAATGATTCTTTTTTAGGGAAAAGGAGGTTAAGCCTTCCCTGTAGTTTTCAATTAAATATGGACAGCTTTGGTATTATTGAATGCAACGATCGTGTTCTATACCACTTCTCTATAAAGGCAAAAACTTGGTGCGTTGTTGATTAACATTAAAGCTGAGGAAATTTGCAAATCAAGCTAAACCTTATTTTGCCCAAAGTTTTTCTTTTAGTTAAATGTTATGTTACCCATTCTTACTGAACTTCCAAATATGCACATACATGTATGTCTCTTCGTTTTGGTATGTCTTGTGACAAATATGGAGTTTAATTGCCGTGATTTGTGAACTTATCTAACAGGACAGTAGGCAGTGTAACTCGATTCATTCTTGTGGTTTTCTATTACAAAGCAAAAGAGGGAAAACAACAAAAGTTTACACTTCGTTAGAATATTTCTAGTTCTGGAACACTTGATGTATTTAAGTGTTTAATTTTGTCAGTACTCAGTACATGATTATTTGCAAACTTTTCTTTGAACGTCTTGCATCAATTTTACCTGATCTTGTACTTAGTAAAAAACTATCCCTGACTGTCATCCAACTTCACTTTAAACATTGCAGTTCTCTGGTATAAATGGGGTGCTCTACTATAAACAAATACTTGAGCAGGCGGGTGTTGGTTATCTTCTTTCAAACCTGGGCCTTGGTTCTACTTCTGCATCTTTTCTTATTAGCAGTGGGATAACCTTGTTGATGTTACCTTGTATAGCTGTTGCCATGAGGCTCATGGATATATCTGGAAGAAGGTATGCACCTTCCTCTTTATCAATTTCTGCTGGCTTATTTGACAAAGAAAAATAAAAGTTTCTGTTGGCTTATTACTTAAATGGTAAGAATGTTTCAAGAGGTGGATCAATTCTGGAGAGGGTTTTCTCACGAACTTACTGTTTCCATTGCATTTTTTCCTGCGTGTTTTTTGCTAGAATTTTTGCAGTTCAGGGTGGTAGTCTATGACAAGTAGGGTTTTGAAATTATTATCATTGCAAAGTGCTATGAAACTGGAAAGTGTCCAAAAATTCAGAACTAAGAGTATGTTTGTTTTCTATTTTAAAAACAGTTTTCTGTTTTTAAAAATAAAAATAATACAAATTTGTTTTTAAATACTCGGTATTTGGAGCCGAGCTATTTTTCCTTTGTAGAGTTTTATTGACCCGTTGTGGTTCTGTACGTATTTCTCCATTAATTGTTTGTGTCATTCCGTTTGCAGTACTCTTTGGTAACATCTCTGGTTTTTCCTTGATTCAGGACTTTGCTGCTGAGTACAACCCCCGTGTCGATAGCATCGCTTCTCATACTAGTCGTAGGGAGTGTTTTGAATTTGGAGAGTACTGTGAATGCATGTATCTCAACTTTGAGTGTTATTGTCTACTCCTGTTGTTTCGTGGTGGGCTTTGGGCAAATACCGAATATTCTTTTTGCAGAGATCTTCCCAACTCGAGTTCGTGGTCTCTGCATAGCTATCTGTGCTCTCACACTTTGGATTTGTGGTATCATCGTCACCTACACCCTTCCAGTTATGCTTAATTCTGTAGGCCTCGTTGGTGTTTTTAGTTTGTCTGCGGTTATGGGCATCATAGCTTGGGTGTTTGTCTTCTTGAAAGTTCCGGAAACCAAGGGCATGCCCCTAGAAGTGATCATCGAGTTCTTCTCTATCGGAGCAAGGCAGGCTGATGCTGCCAATAATAGATGACTTTAGATTACGTCGAATTAAAAGGTTTTTTTTATTATTATTTATTTAAATTGTTGTTGATCTCCAATGGAGCTATGCTGCTCTTGAGGTGTATTGAGCAAAGATTATAGGAATCGTTGCAAAGTCATTAAAAAATGCCAAAGACTCAATTGATCTAATTTTTCTATTTATTTCGATCTTTTTACTACATCATTTTTTTCACTTATGTCTCTCGTGCAACTTTTCCCTTCAAACAAAGGAAATTCAACAAAATCTTTAATACAAACAAGGGTCGGAAAAGCTGTACAGGTTCCTTTTCAAAATTACTCGCGGGGCAGAAAAGAAAGACAAGAGGAGAAAGGAAAATATAATGATTAAACAAACACGGATCTTTCACCGATGATGAAACAATGGTTTAGTAAGCAACCATACATATCCTAAAACTCTCGACGAACGCCTCTGCACAATTTCTTGGGTTTTACCAAGAAAGAAGAAAAAACATTGGCATTCAAATGATAACTAGAAACATCAAAGAACAACTAATGAAAAACATTTTACACACTAATCAAAAGCAAGATTAACACAATCAAATAAGGCTACAAAGGACTTACTTATTGAGCTTTCTCAAGTAGGAAGATGAAAAACAAAAGCAAAGAAATTGCCTAAAACATTACTTAGAGTTCACCATAACCCTGACCTAATCTAGGTCTTTCATAATTATTCATCTATTTAAATTTTCATCTCCCATATGCAGCTCCCAAGCTTGGTTTTAATGTCTCTCTATTCAGACCTCAACACTAGAATGCTGCTTCTTTGATCAAATACACGTGACAGGCCAGTACTCAAAAGTGCCACAGGGAAAGGAAATCCACTTCGGAAATCTACAAGTCTTTGGTAAGCATATTAAGTTAAAATTCGGTATTAGATCAAGTAACCTGATGCAAATTTGTCAACCTCATTGTTGTTGACATTTATACACTCACTGGCCACAAATAAGAGAAGCCGTGCCAGATTTCTATGAAGTTTCAGCCATGAAATTCACTTAAAATAAAAGAAACCTAATTAAATACTAATCGAAGCTTTTGAAACTTGATACTAAAGAGAATATCATAATCAATTTTAAGAAGCTTAGAATAAATATGGGTGGGGGGTTGAGAACAAAGTGCACGTGGACTTATCCTGACACGAGAATGAATGATGCGAATTAATGCTGAGAGGAAAAATAGCAAACAAAGAACATAAGGGTGCTACTTCAAATAGCAATATGTAATCATGAGTCAAAGACTAAATGAAAATTGTCCGAGAGATAAAATTCAACAAAATAAAAGGATTAGATATGAATAGGGCGATGCATTATTATAATTAATTAAAATCACGCATTTACACGTGCAATCATCACATAAACAAGAATGAAATAAATGGGCAAGCAGTGAGGAAGAAGGTACAAACCAGAAGGTTCAATTCTCAATGCGTCTAGCACCAACCCGATCAAGCTGACTGACTTTTGCAGAAGCCTTCAAATTACCATCCTCAAGAAAAGCGCGAACCATATGTTGGCCAATGATGTTTCCAGTGAGTTCATTATCCGTGACAGCAACAGCAGTAGGGCCAGCACCACTGATGGTACACCCAAAAGCCCCAGCTTGAATGGCAGCTCTCTTCACAGCCTCCATGCCAGGAATCAAAGGAGCACGCCGTGGCTCAACGATCTTATCGGAAGACAGAGCCTTCCCCAACCCAACCAAGTCACCCTGTAACACCGATGCCACCAGTGCACCAGCTTGGCTGCAATTCCACACGTGATGCGGCATACCAATCTCACCAGGTAGTGCTGCTCGCATTTTCTTCGTTGGGGCTTCGAAATCAGGAGTCACCAGCACGAAAAACAATTCCTTCTCTGCGGGGAACTTCAACTGAATCAACTCCAATGGCTCGTAACTACGAATGAGCACAAAACCCCCCATGATAGAGGGAGCCACGTTGTCCGCATGATACCCTGAAACCTTCTCTTCGGATTTTAAGGAAGCGAGGACCAGTTCCTCAACGCTCAACTTGTTCCCAAATATCTCGTTGACTGCAACAGCGGCTGCAGCTGCGCTTGCCGCACTGGATCCCAACCCACTTCCTAAAGGCAAACCCTTCTCAAGGGATAGCGAGAGACCACGGGATCGAATGCCAAGCATTTTCATCGCTTCGATGGCGGCGATTCCAGCGCAGTTCCAGAGAGGGTTTTTGCTGAGCTTGTTAGGGTTTTGGCCGCTAATATCCGATATGCATATCTCGCCGGGGTGTACCTGTGGGTCCACCCTCACTGATACAATGTCCCCAAGTCCATCCACCGCGCACCCTAGGAAGTCAAACCCCGGACCCAGATTCGCCACCGTCGCCGGAGCAAACGCTTTCACCAACTGGCACACCGGTTCCGGCTCCGTTTTCTTATTGACGGAGAGGCTGCATCTGATTCTGAATCTTGGGATGATCATGCCATTGTTGCTCCCTTTCAGATTCACCGGTAACGGACACGGGAGGAAGCATGTCGCCATCCTTCTACTCAACTCTTCCCACTCTCTCCAAAATTATCACTAAATGTATGTAACAAAGCGAAGATCAACACTCCAAGTCTCCAACCAACCACGATTCATGTTGCAGCATCAGCGTCTTTAAATTTACGGGTGTTCGTGCAAAATAAAATACTAGCGTAAATTGCAGTATTATATTTGCCATATTTGTGGGTCATCACTCATACGAATCACAAAACTTGGTCCAGTGCCAGAAGCTGAAGCCCACCAACTAGGACTTTCGATATGCTGCAGTTTAAGCCCATCTCCATATCAGCCGTTAGAAGCAGCGGCTGGGGGCTGGCCCATGCTAAAATAAATTTTAAAATATTTAAAAAAAAAGCTAATTAATAAGAGTTTTGTTTTTAAAAATAAATAATTATTTTATGAAAATAGAAAATTATAATAATTTCAAAAATATACATTTCAACAAAATCTTATGTACAATCATTTTTTTTTATAAAATTTAATATATTAATAATATTAAATGTTATAATTTTAAATAAAAATTTATCATTAGCCAGTTCAAAGATCCTGTATCAATAGTCGCTACTTCCCCTCTTCGTACATTACAACTAATTGAGAAGCGCTGGGTGATAAGATTAATTTAACGAATTTTAAAAATTATTATTTAACTAATAATATCAATTATCAAGATTCGTTCGAAATTGGTGCGTAAACATTGGGTGTCATATAGCAGTTCTGCTGAAGTTATGATCATCTTATTTCTAAGCAGAGTCACACTGTATTTGTCAGGAATAAAAATAGAGCCAAATGACTTGATAGTAAAATTTCTAGAGAATAAGAGTAATTAATGATAGTAAAATTTCTAGAGAATAAGAGTAATTAATGAAGTCAAGTGTAACCAGAAGGAGCCTCGGGGGAAATGTTCACTTGTACTACTCTCTTGGATATGCTCTGAAAGGTTTTCCTCTGGAATAAGCATTTGATGTAATATCCTCAATCTTTCTTTTCAATTTCCTGTCTGATACGTCTTCTTTTTTATCAGCAAAATTTAGAAATGTTTGGATGCGTGCAGAGGGTGAGCTGCAACGATTAGAAGGAGCGGTTTTTTCAGAGGATTTTTTAATGAATTTGTGTAGCATTGAGGAAAAGTAGATAAGAAGCGCCAGGAAACATGTTGCCCCACAGATTAGAAACAAGCCTCGGAAGCTATTTAATTGAAGTTGCTCATCCCCGGAGCTATGAAAACCACAAGCCTTTTCTGAAAGCCACTTTTCACGGATCCTCTGAAGTTCACCATTCTCAGATAGAGTTAGAATGGCAGTTGACATATCAATTGCTACAGGAGAGTCCCTCGGGAATGCCTGCCATGCCATCACACCGACATTAAGATTTAAATGTCCAAGAATTGCAGTTGAGAATCAGCAAGTGATCAACTTTAAGCAAAAATTACGCTCAACTACCATCAAATTAGTTTTTTGTGTTTAAGAAGCAAAAGGGAAGCCAAATAAACAAGCATGACACGTTTAATAAAAATTCACATCTTTTACCGTTATGTTTTGCTTTTTGCACTAGCAGCCAGTACAGGAAAGTGCATAAAATACACCCTGAAATGTTTCAGGTTTCAGGTTTGTGCAATTCTAAAGATACTCACAAATCCCCATCCACTTTTGGTGAACTCTTGGCCCCTAATGGAGAATTCGCAGTGTTTTGACAGGAAGAGTTCTATGTATGGTCGTTCATCCACCACAGCTGCAACAGTTCCCCTTGCGAGGGCAACGGCATATTCTTCTGGTGAGCCTAGTGGAACAAGTCTATGTTTGGGGATGTTGAGTTCCTCGATCAGATAGTTTTCAGCAAATGAGCCTACTTGGAAGCCTACAGGTTCACGGCTGGATATCAAGCTATCAATTCCTGTTATGGGTGATGACAGCTGTTGCACAGTGAGAATTGAAGTCAAGCTTGCAGTGTAGCTTGAATTGATTATCAGAACCACAAAAAGCCAAATTATCAACACAACACGACCAAGTGGACTAACTGTGTTTTCTCCTGAAACAACAGAAGCCGGTTTGTTTCTAGAAACAGAGATACACTAGAATATGTTTCATGACTACGACATGAACTGTCAAAAAGGTTGACTTACTGTGCGCAAAGAACATGGTTGAGAAACTAAACCTGCAACAGCACACAAAGATGAGGAATCATGTTGAGCTATGTACACAAGCCACGTGAGTCAATTCAGAAGAGAAGTAAAATCTAGTGATGAGAAAAATACATACCAAAGAATCGTGACTATCTGTTTCTTTGGAGACCCCCGAAACTCATCGTTTGTTCTATGTTCAAGAATCCACACCACCGTTCCAACAGCAAGAAAAAAAAATGCAGTGACACCCCACATCACTGGAGTAAATGGTCGCAAGAAAGCCCAGGCACTTGACTTCAATTTTTTCACTGGAGCAACAACAACTAGCCCCGACTCTATAAATGGTTGAGTAAAGTCCACAATCTTTGTTCGGTCAGTGACAATAGCAATATCACCCACGGCAGCATCAAAAACCTGTATATGCAAGCGCAATAAGTTCAATAAAAGCAAGATAGTTATCATATATGTGCTACGTAGTAAATGGATTGTAGTATCTGGGAGTTACATCAGAAGTTATCATATTCACAAAATCAAAGTAGCTTGGGTTCTTATATCCATCTCCAAACAGAATGAATTTGTGTTGAACGGCATATGGAAGCAATTTTATGGCGGCCAGGAATATATCTATGCAATATCCTTGAACAGAACTGGTGCCATTTATCTGTGAGACCATGTCTCGGTAACTAACTCTGTTAGGAACTCCAATTCTGAGGTGCCTCCCATTATTTGGGAAAACCCATCCACGAGGCTTTTGTGTTGTGTTTCCAGGCCATATGACAGGGTATAGATGCTGGCTTGAAATAGAGCGATTGGCAGGCTTTGTGTAAAGTTTCTCAGGGGTTACTACGGAGAGACCAGAATAATTAGACCAATACCCAATCCTCCTACAACCATTAGCATGTGCATTAAGGATGTCATATGATGGATGTAAAGGGGATCTGTCTGAACCAAATTGGATAGGTCCTGTCAATCCACTCATATTAATGCGCAATATGTTATCAAGCAACCGTTTCCCTCCATCAAAAACGCCAAGAGCACTAAGATCCAGACTATCTCCCTTCATACCACTTAAATTTGTATTATTAGAAAATGAAATGGTACCATTGTGATGAAAATATAGTTGAAGTGCACGAGCAATCATCCAAACAGAATCATAAGCATAGAGCCCATACGGATTTAACCCAATTGAGCCATTACTTATGAGTTTCCACCTTGAGATAAATGCCTGTTTTTTCCTGGACTGGGGGGTGTGAGGGCGAAGTGTAATAACTCCTTGAATTGAGTTAGAAGTATTTAAAGGGAGTGATGAAGTTGAATCTAAAACAGTTGATAACCAAGAAGTAGTAATCCAAACATAGCCTTTGGTCATCATGCCCAGTTTTTGAGCCACGTCAAAAACCAAGAGACCTGTGTGGTGAAAGGTGTGTAGAACAATGACTCGAGCTTCCATAGTTGTAATTTTGAGTAACTCAGTAGTAACATCAGCTGGAATGGCGGTTGGATCAGGGGGCAGTGCTGCTTTGTAAGATAACTTACAGCGTCTATCAGCAAGTTTATCTCCCAATACACTAATCCCATTTCGACTCTGACCATCGTCACTAAATACTGCTATGACTTCTCTCCAACCATAGTAAGTAATTATGTCAGCAACTGCAGCCATCTGAAACTCATCGCTGGGGACTGTTCGGACAAAGTAAGGGTACTGAAGAGGTGTTAGGGTGGGATCAAAAGCCGTGAAGGACAGCAGAGGAACGTGGAGCTCGTTTGCAAGATGCGAGAGCACATGAGCCATCACTGAGGTTTGTGGACCAATTATAGCCACAGTGTCAGTCATCAAGAACTTGAGGGCTGTCATCAAGTTTGAATTAATTAGCAAAAGTAGGAATAGAAAGTGATTCAATTAAGAATGTAAAACAAAAAAGCGATGCCATACCCCCAATAAAGCCAAGAAAACCGCTGAAGTTGGAATCGTGGATGGTTATGGACAATTCGCGTCCCCCGAGGATGCGAGGATCGGAATTGACGTCTTTCTCAGCAGCTTCGATGGCAATTTTGGAAACTTGTCCGTTTATAGTTTTTAACGTGAATATGGCACCGATTTTGACCACCTCATGGCTGGAACTGGAAGCTCCTTTTGATGCTCCATGCAACAGGGTCAATGTTAATGCAAGGGATAGAAGACTCAACCAGAACCTATGATAATAATGACAGGGAAGCTGCATGATATGGGTATGTATGAAGAAAGTAAAGATGGAGAGACAAGAGAGATGGTGTATTCTATGGAGTGCTGACAATTATAAGAGGTTGGATCGGTACCACTACACAGCAAGTGGTGGTAGCAAAGTGTGTATGAGGGGCAGTGCCATTTTCCCATGAATGAGTGCGCTTCAGATTGTGATGTTTCATTTTACTTAATTTCAACGTGCGAATGTCAAATTCGGAGTGAATTATACGCTTATACAAGAATATCTATCTTTTTCCTCCATAGATTGACATCAAACTTTCCACCAATCTCCTTTTCGTACTGCGCATGCCCATTTTTGGACCCCGACAATTTTTCACAACCATTCGCAATGTTTTTCTAAATTCCATGGATTTACCCTACAACTTCATTACAGTTGTCAACTAAATAAACAACTGCTCAACGACAAATAATACTCATTTCACATTTTCTCATTACTTCATGCATTTTCACTTTGAAAAATTTACATATCAGATTTGTTAATAACTACTCTGAGCATATGATTAAAGAATTAATGAATAACAAATTTATACTAATGTTTTTTAATATTTTAAAATAATTATTAGCTTAAAAATTACAATTTTTTCTTTTCTTCTTTTTTTTTCCTTATTTCTTTTTTTTTCTTTCCTTTCTTTATTTATTTTATTCATCTTCATTATTTTTTTCTTTCTTCCATTTTTCTTTCTTTCTTTATATCTTTATTTCTTTTACTTCTGGCTTCTTTTTCGTCTTATTTTCTTTTTTTTGTCTTTCTTTTCTTTCTTACTTTTTTCATTCTCCTCTCTATTTTTCTGTTGCCTTTTTCTTGTTTCCTTTGTTTTTTTTCTCTTTTACTTTTGTTTTTCTTCTCCTTTTTCCCATGTTTCTTTCTGTTTTTTTTTTCTTTCTTTGTTATTGATACTTTTTAGTGAACAATATTTAAAAAATTCCTAAATGCAGTTTGAGAAGATTTGAAGCTGGGGTCTTTCTCACCGTGTCACCTTGGACCGAACACCACCCAAAGAATATGGAACCACATCACATCACCTTTTTTTTTTTAATATATCCAATCACCACAACTTTGGGGGCTTGCAAGTTTGGGCATTTTGGGCCAGCCACTCTTTTTTGAAGCAATTGTTTTAAGTCAAAGGATCCGAGATGAAAAGTCCAACAGCACTTAACAATGAAAAACTTATATATCAGATTTGTTAATAACTACTCTAAACATGATTAAAGAATTAATAAATAAAAATTTATTAAATTTTTTTGCTAGAAAAAATTTATTAAATTTAACATATTAAGATTAAAATTAAAATATAAAAAAAACTAATTTTCATTAAAAAATATTTATGAATTTAAAATTACAATTTTCTTTTTTCTTTTTTCTTTCTTTCTTTCTTTTCATTTTCCTTCCTTCTTCGTCTTTCTTTATTTCTTTATTTCTTTTTTTTTACTTTCTTTACTTCTATTTTTTTTCTCATCCTCTTTCTTTTTCTTCATTCTTTTCTTTTTACTTTTTTATCTTTCTTTATTTCTTTTTATTTTGTTTATTTCTTGTTTCTTTCTTTTTCCTTTTTTCTCTTCTTTCTGTTTTTTTCTCCTTTCTTATTCCTTCCTTTTTTTCCTTTTTTTTTTTTATCTTTTTTTCTTCCTTTCTTTTTTCTTTCTTTCCCTCTTTCTTTTTCTTTTTTTATTTATTTCTTTCTTACTTTTTTTTTTCTTTCTATCTACCTTCTTTCTTACTTCTTTCTGTTTTTCTCTTGCTTTTTCTTTTCTCCTTTATTTCTCTTCCTCTTTGTTTTTCTTGCTATTTTCTCCCCTTTCCATCTGTGTTTCTTTCTTTACTTCTTGCTTTCTTTTTGTTTTTTTTTTCCTTCTTGCTTTCTTTTCTCTTTCTTTCTTAGTTACTCACTTTCCTTCTTATTGGTACTAAAAATTCTTGGATATAGCTTAAAAAGATTTCAAGTCATCAGTGATGTTGTTTTCCAAACAAGATTATTTAAAGGCCTTCTCCCAAGCAAAGAGAAGCCTAGTTAGACCGTCCCCCTTCATATGGGATTTCTCACCATTGCTCCTTAAACGGAACACCACCCCAGTTATCTGGAACCACATCGCATCACCCTTTTTCATATTCAGTCACCACCACTTTGTTGAGCTTGCAACCCTGGTCATCTTGGGCCAGCCTCTCTTTTTTGAAGCAGCTTTTTCAGTCAAAGGATCATTTATGAAAAGTCCAACAACACTTACAAAGAGAGGAGCTTAATCCTGAAAGTATTGCAATAGTGCATAAAATATAAACAGAAGAACTCCAACCATGCAAAATAGAATTTACTACCAAAGAAACTCCAGACATAACTAAAATAAAACCAAGAGTAATTTTCAATCAACAGTAAGTGTGTTAAAGTGCATTATTAACAATTGTCTCGATTTAAATAAAACAAAACAGGTTCAAGTATACTTCACCACAAAAAAAAGAAAAGGAATCATAACGAAATTCCGCCGATTAAACAACACTCAAATTAGTCATCAATACGACAACCTCTTCCGCGGGACTTTGGAAAATTATCGACCGACAAGCCAAAAATATACAGACCTTCACTTTCAGTTTAACAAGGGAATGGGATTGCTGGGTTGGATACAACCCCGCGCCCCTCCCCAAAGAAAAAGTGAGGAACAAGGAATACACAGGGTTAAATACAAGGCAAGGAATACATTACAAATAAGAGGTTCCAAATAGCAAAACAGACAACCCACTCACAAGAGGCAACAGTCGGAAAGCCTGAAAAACAGAAATAATGCTAGTATGGTAGAATTGCTAAACTAAAAAGCACTCCAATTATCAGATCCTCTTTTCGGAGTTTGACTATCTGATGAAGTCCTAAATGGCCCAGAGCCAAAGGGATCCGAGTCATCAAAGGCTGGAAACCCATGAACATGATCAAAATCCGCACTGCTGTGCACTGAATCAAATCGTTTAGGTGTCTCCCGAGCAGGCAAAGACACGCTATCATGTGTTCTGAAAGAATCAAATCTTGAGTAGTTGTCAAAAGCAGTTTCCAACCACTCTTTGGGCCTGTGTGGGGAACTGCTTGAGCTGAAAAGTGGTGTACTTGGAACAGAATCATCAAAACTGAAGCCACTGCTCCTCTGGAAGAGATCACCAGCCTGTGGTGAACCTGTTTTGATGGGGTTGAGGCCCAGTTCCCCAGAACCAAAGAAATAGTTGTCTCCAGCTCTGTCAAGATCTCTATCCTGTAAAAACAGTAATCCAAAAGTGATCAGTGGACTATTAGAGTATAAATTATCCATTGATCCAATCCAATTAGAAGAAGTTTGGATTGGATAATTTGGTTTTTATAATTTAATTGTTAATTTAATTAAATGGAAATAAATAAATTATTTTATTATCTTTCCTACACTATTTTTAATTCAAACTTATTTTTTATTAGAACATAAAATTTATATCAAAAGATATGATATACAAATAAATTATTGATGTAAAATAAATAAACTTATGAATACATTTAAATAATAAAAAAATCACTAAAAAATAATAAAAACATATAATTTTGAAAGCAGAATCATAAAAAATAACTAAGTATTGTAATTTTATAAATAAAATTATACACACACATATAGGATGTTCAGTTTGAATTGAATTGAATCAGTTTTCAAAATTCGATCTGAAATCCAATCCAATTAAAAATAAATGATTTTTTTTTTGTGTTTAGTTAATTCGGTTCGGTTTTGCAGTTTACAATAGATTGGATCGCTTTATGAATACCCGTAGCTATCATCTTTCCATCATTGTTTTTCTTTGTAGGCAATGCACATGTGCATCATTCCAACTATCTAATCACCATGTTATCTCTAGCTGTGCTCTCTTATGGTCAACTGTATTTGAAAGTCATTGTTCAAGAACCCTATTAACATGGTGCGCTTTGGTGAGCCTCAAAGCTTCAAGCCATTTTATGCTTTTAATTGTTTGTGTGTAGTGGCTTTATTCGCCACAAGCTGAAGGCATAACAATATTCGACTAGAGGGAGGCTGTTGAAATATAAGGATAATCATTATTGTGTAAGGTGTCTTCTCATGTTATTATTAAGAGTAATAATACTATTAATATACACTTACACCTTCTAGAATATTACTATTAGGTATATTAGACTATTAGGTTAGTGTTTTCAAAATATTACATCACAATCCAGTTAGTTAAATATACTCACTCATATTCCCCACTTTTCCATTCAGTCCCTACAAATTTACAACCATCACCAGTGATGACAAGGTAGAATAAAGCGGAGGAATTTAGACAACATATGTAAAAATACAATTTTTGAACTAAGAAATAAGTTTGTTTTGACAATACTTTAAGGTTTGAGAATTCACATACCTCCTTACTGATGCTACTGGCATTGAATCCCCAAACTGAATCAATATCATCATTCGTGTCAAAGGTTCCCCAATTTGGTTCATCAAAAATTTTGTCTCCAGAAAACACGGACTTGTCACCACCGTGATCACTGCATATGCAAGATTATATGCAAACAATTATTTTGTAACATCACAGGATCTATATCATGCAAAAATATAAAATGAAGTATACATGGGTTTCGATTGACGCTGGTGCATGTCAAAATCAATTTTAAACCAACAAATAACTTTTCAATCTAAAGTTGGGAATGAAGGTCCATACCATGCACTAGGGATATTCCAAGGATGGTTTAACTTAATCCTTACCCAACTCAAAATTTTGATCAGATGTCATTTGCTTGGACCCGACCCAACCAAAAGGAAAAATTGATATATATTTTTTTATATATATTTCAAAACATGATATCAATATTAATATAATATCTTGTTTTGTAAAATGCCATCAATTAAGTAAAGAAACCAACACTTTCAGCCACTAGAGTGAGTTACAAAGAAACAAGTTGTGTAGAGGAGAAGTCAAATGCTTCCTTTCAAGTTGCAAAAATAAGGAGTAAATGAGAGAAAGGAAGAAGGCATGATACAGTCAACAGAAATATAAACACATTAGATGGCAAAGATGTCTTGAAAACTCCCAAGGGAATTATAACATGAAATTCTATTTAGTTAATGGTAGAGTAATCTCAACTCAGCTGCAACGAGTTTAGTATCCTTATATTTTATTTGGACAAATGGGTATTTTCCTTTTTTTAGTCTAAACCACAAGTATCATTCACAAGAGGCAATCTTGCTTGAACTGGAAACATCTACATCATGATAAGGTTAGCTTTCCCAATGAGAATATTTTCCATACACGAGACCTTACTTAAGCGAAGTCAAACATGTAATACTTGAACCAATCCTTGTTAGACAAGTGGGTTTTTATGACCAGTTGGAAAAGTGGGTTTTATACCCAAGTAAAAAATGCATAGCATGGCAACCTCCTCACAAAGGTGAGAAAGATGATAGTATCACTATTTAGCTTCGACTTACATAAAAAATAATGATAGGCCAAAACCAATAAAGTGATATTATACAACAATTTGCGACTCTTAAATGTATCATATATTATAGATGACTATCTTAAAAGCTTAAGCTATAAGTTGGTCTCTACCGCACACCCTCAAACAGAAGCCCATTGAGTTGAAGCATGGCATGGATAATGCACAACCTCACTTTATCTTGAGCTAAAGTTATAATATGATTGGGAAAGGCAGCAGCACCAGATCAAACTCTTAATCCAAATGATCAGAGGGCTCTAAAACCATGTCAAGGGAAAATCTCCTAGAGAACTAAGTTGTTAGGTGGAAGGGCCTAAGAGCTTTTAATAATAACAAACACAATTTTTATATTATAATAATAATAGTATCATGACCTTCCAAAGGCACAGAATAGTAGTGATCAGCAAAAAAAAGAAAAGAAAACACCTCTAATTATATGATCAAATGAGCAACTGACCCACATTTGGGAAACTGGTGTACAAATACCAAAAACCATACCTTAGGGTTTCTTGTATGGTATCTTGATCACGGGGTGAGCTATCTTCACCAACAATCTTTCTAATGTCAGAATCAGCAAAGTCCCTATGTGGGCTTCCGATAGCACTGCTTGCAAATGGACTATTAGGAGCACTTTTAGCAGACCCATCTTCACTTTTATTATGAACAGTTCCGTTGTCAACTCCCTGTTCATTGGCAGTCTGGGGATTTTCTGACCTATCATCGCTCTTAGGAGAAGCAGCGAATGTAGGACTGTCAATGTCCATGGTTTTCGTGTTTGCAGCTGATGGCAACTTTTGCTTTGGAGGCACTATTATGTTTTGCACATTGAGAGTGAGTTCTTTGACAAAAGCAAATTCTGCAAGAGGAAGGCATAGTGAATTACCAAGTTCATTTAGCCCTATCCAAAATTCTCCAAAAGAGAACACAAGCGGGTCAGAAAATATATAAATATTAGTTGAACATTATTTTAATTCCATCAATACCATATAATTTCAACTCCTCCCTCCCTTTCCTCCAAACTATCAAACTCATCTGATGTGATTACTAGCACTATAAGTGCGCTTATCATGGAAGAAGAGGCAAAAATTGATAAAGCATTAAATTATGTATAATGTGTACATACACCATCAATTTTATTAAAAAGAAAGAAAATACAGCTGGAAGGATGAATATAGCACGGCAGGAAGCAAATAATGCATGCTCTAATACTTAACAGTCAAGTTTTCTGTTGAATTATGCTGCTTTAAATTACAAGAATATTGAAAGAATATTTTATCGAAATGCAAATGAAATCAAATCAAGAATGAAGATGCTGAAGGTAGACATTCAACAAGAGTGTGGTGCACATTGCTCAGACAAAATGAAAATTAGGAATGTGAACTTGGTTTCATGACCTTGTCTAAAGCTCCTCCTAATTTAACAGACTATCAGATCTAAATAGGGTTATTTTCGGTACCTTTATCTTCAAGCTTATCCCAATCCTCATCCCAGTCAGCAGCTCCTTCTTGGATGCCAGGTTGCCAGCCTTACAGAATAAAATTGAGTTGAGGCCACAGAATACAAGAACAAAATCTATATGCACATAATATTACATTATTAAATATAAATATACACTAGAAGGAAGCACATGAGATTGGTGGGCAGAGCAGCACAAATAATTTTAATGCTGATTCAAAACCACTGGTTCAGCAATTGTAGGTCACTTCCTCAAATTAAAAAACAGAGTTGATATCAACAAAAAAAAAAAAAAAAAACATATAACAAAGTTATAGACATGAAAAAGATTTGAGAATGCCTGGAGGGATATAAAAACAACTATCAATTTGAATTTACCAAAGGGTAGCTCCAATAGTGTTGTGGGCTTTGCCCGTAATCCGTACTTCTTGCACCGCTCATTCAGAGATTTCACAAGCTCATCAAGGTCAGATTGGATACGATCAGCATGAGCCTGAAAATTTCAGATGACTATGAGATATGAAAACAAATTTTCAACATGGATGCGCAGACCTGGTAATATTAAAATGTACCTGTAGAGTCTCATCGCCTTTTCCGTCCTGTTCCATCTTGACAATTGCTTGATACAATTCAAATTTTTTCTCCTACACATACACAAATCATTTAACAGCAATGAAGCAAAATAGTAAAAAAAAAAAAAAACAGGCAAAATAAGGTATCAATTGAAGGAAAAGCCTTATTTGATTGCACCTGTATGTCACGAAATGTGGCTTCCTCTGTAGTTAACTTGGATGATACATCTCCTACTTGTTTATATTTGTCTTCATATTTCTTTGCTAGAATCTCAACCTGAAATTAATATATTGAGTAAAATAATAAATTTTACGATTATATAGGTAATAAGAACACATACAAGTCTAAAGAGAGATACCTCATGCTTATCAGCAGATACCCTTTCTATGACCTCATTAAGACGGTTGTCACATCTGCTCTTGTACAGAACCTTTTGTGGGTAAAAGAACAAGAAATTTGTTTTAAAAAAAAGTGAAAAATAGAAAAAAAACGAATATTAACTTTACACTGTAGTGTAAACCATAAGAAAAACATGACACGCAGCTTTTATATGATTTTCTCTTCAAAGTCACAGTTTTATTGCATCAAAGGGATTCCAACCAGCGTTCACAGCAGAACATGTCTATTTCCTAGGTTTTTTTAATTATTTTGCCAGTAACTCCTAGGTATCTGCAGAAGCAGCCAAAAGCTGAAAGAAGAGGTATAACATCTAATGCCTAAAAATTAAGAAACAGACCTTTTCAGGAGCCCATTATTCACTTCCTTAAAATTAATAGAAAATGGAAGCCCAAGAAGCAGATAGGTGATTATGCAATTATGTTCAGTAGAGCTATAGTAAGAAAGGATCAGTTTTGTTAACAAATCTGTGATATTTACAACAACTACAATGGCATGGATGTTGAAACTGTGTATTCATACATACTTAAACAATAATCTACACATGTTTTGCATCCTTAAAGCTTTGCATGGGAAAAGTTTGTGGCAAGATCCCTTCTTCATGAAATACAGTACAATTTTTCTACCAAAGTACATTTCATTATTACTAGCTACATCATATGGTATATGACTCTGCCTGTAAATCAAGATACAGTATATATGCAAACAAATCACCTGTTAATCGAGAAAGAAACTAAAAATAGAGCAAAAATAACAGAGATTAATAACAAGATAGAATTTCAGAGATAATTTATTTCAGCTTTTACTGAAGAAAAAGCGATTTTTAATTAAAAAGATAGGTTAAAAGAATTACTATAATAATTATGTAAGTTTTTCAAAAAAGGAAAAATTTTTAAAATGATTTTCTAGTGCTTTTATCAGAAGCTAAGAAAGCACTAAAAAAATGTTGTATCATAGAACAACTTTTTCTATGCTTAAGCAAATGGGCCCTTAGTAAGATACCAATGAAGAAAGCAAGGAAATACTCACAAGTTCCTGCATTTTTGCACGGTAGAATTCTATTTTCTCTCTGGATTCCACAATTTCTTTCTCAAGTTCTTCCACCTGCATTTAACAAAAAGAATAAAAAGAACATCAAGAGGGTGGGATGAAGTTTTTAACACCTCTACTATATGAGTTGAAACTTCTACTACAGTCACAAAATGAAAATATATGTTCAAAACTGGTTGTTGATCATGCCAAGAATCACATCAAGAGGGGGAAATCCCTAAAAAGCCCATTTACATCAAAATGAACGAACATGTAACACACATTTATCTCTTGAGGGAAAAGGAGTATATATTTTAAAATAAGATGACAGGAAAGTGTAATTTAAGCATCTCTCACAAGAGGGAAATGTAATTTACTAAAAAAATAAAAATAAATAAAAAGAGAGCCATCAAAACATAAACATGACAGTCATTGAGCTTATAAACTGAAGCTCAACACCCCTCCTGTTCCCAGATGCTTGCACTTCCTAATGTACCCAAAAAGAAATAATAATAACAATAATAATCAAATCCATCATGTACAAATAAAAATGAGGCAAAAAGATAAAATAGATACCTTCTTATCAGCTTCTGTTGCTTCTTGAAACTTTGAATTAATTGAATTTTGCTCATCTGAACTCAGCTGATTTATGAGGTGCTTCTCCAAAACTGGAATTTTAGATTTCTGCTGCTTGTTCTGAGATCCTTCATCAGGCTGAGGGACAGCAGCCGGCCTTGGTGGGCGACCTGCAGCAGGGTTCACTTGTCGAGCACCAGAACCAGTCATCCCCTGTTGCTGTTGAAAACCTTCAAGAGATAATAGCAGGCAAGGACACAAAAATATGAGAAAATATAAATTTCTGTTCATGTGAATGGCTATAACAATAATAATAATAACAAAACCTGCTAATTTTAGGGCACACACCTGATGGATTTCCCCAAGTTACAGCACCGTAGAGAGCAGCTGGTTGACCAGTAGTTGGTAAATCAAGCACAATGTTACTAGGAAGTACTCCTGGAAGAATGCGTCCTTCCCTGTGCCGCTCCATTAGGTACAATGCAATACAAAACTCCCTTAGAGAAAGCATGCTATCATTATCTTGATCAGATAAGTCCCAGACCTGCTTTAAAACCTCTGAAAGATATAAAACATGGTACACAAATAATGATCAGGGACTTAGCTAGCCATTGAAAAGTAATATCTGTGCAGAATGTGAATACTAGAATGAAAGAACAGAGCCCCCCCCCCCCCCCTCTCTCTCTCTCTAACAAACACAAAAAAGCAAATGTTATCAAACAACTAGTTCTTCTATATGCAATTAATAATATTTATTTCTTATTCCATGTGCGGTTAGTCAGGGACTTAGCTAGCCATTGAAAAGTAATATCTGTGCAGAATGTGAACACTAGAATGAAAGAACAGAGCCCCCCCCCCCCCCCAAAAAAAAAAACTTCTCTCTCTCTCACACACACACACAAAGCAAATGTTATCAAATGCAATTAATAATATTCCAGTGGATTTCCTATTCCATATGCGGTTAGAGCACTTCAGTAGTACAAAAAAAAAAAGTTAGCATTATAAGCCTGTTGTCTGAGCAAAGAGGCAAGGAAGAATAAGTATAAGCAATATATACCTCTTGGTAATCTCCAACTAAGAAACAAGTTCCGCGCTTGTTCCCCAGTGATTTTCCCATCTCTATCTGTGTCTACTTCCATGAATACTTTCATATATTTCTGTACATCAGTCTGAGTCATCCTTGGCCATGGAGATTGAGGCTGACCGGAAGCAGAGTCCTGCAACCTCCCTGGAAGTCCAGATGAATTCAGCATGTTATGTGTCTGGACTGAAGCATGCTGGTCCAGTTTCACCACCGGCTGGACTTGCTGAAGCTGTGCACCAGGCTGGGTTCCAAGTGAGCCCTGCAAAGAGTCAGGGGTACTAGTCCTAATAGAATGCTGATTACCTCCAGATACAGGAACAATGGCTGATGAAGGCAGTGAACTGCCAGAAGAAAATCCTTGTGGAGAAGAAGTTTGTTTTAGCCGAAATGAGCTAGCTGAGAACATATCCCCTCCAAAAAATGAATCAGAAGCAGTACCATTAACAGAAGTATCCATTGATTTAGAATCCTTAACCAATGGATCTGATGACCTCAAGCCAGGGGCAGGATATTGGCTAGGTACCAGCGCCGCACTTGATCCAGTGGTTGCAAGCCCAAAGCCCTCCTGCATTGACTTGGGACTACTTCCTCTTGCGGGTGTTTGAGAAGATGTTACTTCCGGAGTTCCACCCATCTTGCCAGTGGACCCATAACTTGAGATGCCAACGGTTCCAGCAACAGAGATTCCTTGTGCGGCAACACGAGGTGGCAGGTTAGAGGCAGGAGGCCTTGCTAACTGAGTTCCCTGACCCTGTGAAGGAAGGTTTTGCTGGTTACCAGTTGAATTTGGAACTGGCCGCCCTAGTCCAAGATTTTGGTGGGATAAAGGATTAACAGGGCCAATCTGTGGTGCAGGTGCGGGCGCGGGTGCAGGTGCGCGTGCGGGTGCAGGTGAAGGAGAATTTAATGGCGGTGAAACTGTGGCACTGAAATTAATTTGAGGTGCAGGAATCTTAGATGCAGCGGGGCCATACAATGCTGCTTTAACCATTTCAGGGGTTAGTTCTCGCTTACTTTGTGCCACAGTGACGAGTTTAAGGGCATTGTAAAACTCAGCACGGCCGAGGAAACCACTTTGGCTTTGGTTTGCAAAAGCCCAAATCTGCAGACGAAGGCATAACAGGAATTCATTTCTGAAGTAGAGGCTAATTAATTGGAAAGAACGCTCTAAATCCGTTGAAAATGAGAAGATAAGGAGTGAATGAGAGTGAGAGGTACCTGCGCAAGGACCTGCTTGGGCAAACCGGAGCCTTGGAAAAAGGAGACGGCTTCGGCACCGCTGATACGGCCGTCTCGATCCAAATCGGCGCGTCGAAAATAGGCATCGAAGAGATCGACATTAGGCGCTGCCGATGCCATTGCAGAATTCAACAGCACCGTCCGATTTCAATTTGATTGCAATTGCAGACTCTATCTTTGCCTTTGCAGATCACAGCATGGATTTACAAAACCTCAACATCCCAATCATCCAACTTCTTACCCTCAGATTGATTAATTGCTTGATTTCCACTTTGCTGCCTCCACTTCCAATCCAATCCAATTTACAAATTCCCTTTCTTCGCCTGCCGGACAACTTTAATCCTCTTTCCTTACCATATTTCAAAATTACCCTCGTCACATTTTTTTTTTCCTTGTGAATTCCGATTTTTAAAAATTTCAAATTTCAAATAATTATAATTCATAAGTAATGTCTTTTGGTATATTTGAGTGACACGTTTTCATCCAATAACTGCTACCCTAGCGCTGACAGAATATGTTGAAAATTATATGATTTTGTTAATGCTTTTTTTTTATGTGATTATAAGTTATTTAATATAACTTCGAAAAACAATCGAACATATATATATATATATTTTAAATATAGAATCAAAAGGAAATAAAATCTAAAGGTCAGAATATTATAATGCGACGAACAAATTAACCAATTATTTGTCAAGAAAAATAAGATAATATTTTACATTTATGTTGATAAGTCATAAATTTAAGATTTAACTCATTTTCTTAATAAGCATAAGTCTTTACAAATGTTTTTTTTTTAACTGTCTTAAATTAGAGTACTTTATCTTAAAAGTTGTACTAATAAATAGAAAATCGTAATATTTATCATTAGATATTATTTTTTATCACAAATTATTTTAAAATAACATTTATCTTTAAAACTTTTGATATTGTCATACACAAATAACGTTACTTGTTCTTTACTATTAGTCCCTTAGAGCGTGTTTATAAGTTTAATTTTGGAGAAAAATAAATAAGAAGAGAAAAATATTATTTATATTAATATTCTTTAGTTTCATATTTTTTAAAATAAAATTAATATAAAAGTAATCTGTTGATTTTTTTTGTTTTTTATAAACATTACACATCTCTTTAAATTTAAAATAAAATATTTATCTTTCTCTCGCATCTCTTTTAAAATTTTACTTCCCAACGTAAACTATGAGCTGGAATTAAGAAACAAATAAATCAATCATTCTCCTCATTTCTATAATTTAACAAAATTTATCACCTAAGGCATATTTTAGACGCAATCATCGACAAAAATATATAAAAAACATTAACATAAATTCTAAAAATTTTAAGAGTAATAAATTTCTACTAAAAATTATGTACTGTATCAGAAATACAAAGAATAAAATTTAGAAATTTACTACGAGCATACATTTATATAATTCTTTTAATTTTTTGTTATTTAATGAATGTCTCGTAATTGAACATTTTTAATTAAAATTAGTTGAAGATTTATAATAGATTTAGAGTATAAAATAAGAAATTTGTTTTAATATAAGTATAAACATTTTTATATCATGCTTTAATTGATTCAAAATTGTAAATAACAAAATGAAAAAAAACAATGACTTTAAGTTTATATGTATGTGTAATGTGTTTTATCTATTTAACTGAAAAAACCTCTATATTTAAATTTTATCATGATTTCAAAAAAAATTCAAAAATTTAGAAATGAGAAATTTAAAGAAAATAAAAAAATTCTGAAGATTCAATAAGATGCAAGTTTATATTTGAATTATTTTGGGTGGAAAATTAGTAAGTAAATTTTGAACTAAGGTCAATTTTTAAAATAAAATATTATATTTATGTGTATAACATTGATCTGTTACAAAATTATACATTTAAATTTTATCATGTACACATTTATTTTTTCATATCAGCAATTGTCACAACTCACGAATTGCCAGTAAATATTGATCTTATTTTTTTACATTTCAAAATACCGTATAATCTCTAACATTAAATAACAATACATGATTTTTTAAAATATTCTCATTTGATAAACTTATTTTATATGTATAAATATACCAAAGCAAGTTTTGGGTGTTAAATTTCCATAATACCTATTTATGTATGCTTGAATACAATAAATAAAACAATTAATTATATGTGAGAAATAATTATTGATAACTATATTTTTTTAAATAATCAATATCAAGACATAAAAGTCATATGAATATTTCTTTTAAAATTTTGATTTTTTAAAGTTATCACCTAAATTTAAAATTTTGATGATCTATGAACTAAAATTACTTCTTTCGTTAAATCTCTTTCTCTATTATCGTAATTTTCAAATTTTGAAAAAAAAAACTACTTTACAAACAAAATTACACAATTAGCCTAAATTTAAGTTGTATGCTATCGAGCAATCATGAAAATTAAAATAGTTTCTTGCACACTATACAAATATTGTTAAATTAATTTTAATAAAATTTGTAATATATTGTAATAAAAAATAACCCTTAAAATATTCATAGTTTAACTAAAGATTTAAAATAATTTATATTAAAAAGTGCAGATGAAGATCTGATTAGCAAAAAAAGAAGTGCAGATGAACCTAGTTGAGATAATTTAACCTTTCTCCTTAGCATGTCCAGGGTAGGGTCAACATTATAATTGTCTCAAGGGTAGGGTCATGTCTCACACAAAATAGAAGGAGGAAAATATCCAATAGATTTCAAAAATAATCAGACGAGTATTTGAAATAGAAGAATGTTAGCATCACCAGAAATCGAGACTAATATGGTGAAGGACCAATCTTCATCGTGAACGTGTTTTAGGTGGTGGACAAGGCTGAGCACTGGGCTTGTAGAGTAATGGAACCGTGATTCTCAGGAGAGAGATTTGAGGTGTCTGTGTGTTACGGTTGCTTAGAAAGTTGACGATGGGGAGTTAATGGTTCAGATAAGACATTCAATGTTTTTGGTTTCGACTTTGGACCAAGTATGGAAATAAAGAATTGCTAGAAGCTGGAAAATATAAATAAATACATTTAAAAAACCGCTGTTTTGCCTTTTTAGTTTATAAAATTTAAAATATCTATTCCTTTCTTTTATTTGTTTTCTTTCAATCATATTAAAGTCAAATAAATTAAAATTCAATAATCGAATGCTTTATGCAGCATTCTCGTGTAACATGGATAATAATGCTAATATTAAACAAGGTAGTCCAATGGGTTATATAATAATGCTTAAATTATTCCTCAAGTGTGAAAGTTTTGTCGTCTAATTTGAGCCTAATCCATTTATTTTTTTTTTAATTTAAATTGAGGGTTGAGATAAAAATAAGGAAAATAGAAATAAAAATTTAGTCCTCGTTTCGCGCTTTACGTCTTGACCACTATAACAAGGATTATAGTTACACACTTTCCTTGTGGCAGAAACAAAATGAAAATGATTCATCGAAAACTGGGATAAACTAGTGAATTGGAAAATATAGAGATAAAGCAACACAGTGCACTTGCAAGGCAATGTATTTATTCAACGGCACACTAACCCGTAGAAATCCCTGAAAGGATTCACACCACAGCACAGGATGAGGAGGATGGTTGGTTTTTGTCTCTACACTATAAAGGATATGCTTTCAAGATAATTTTCACGAGTCTTGTATTTTAATTTTGGAATTTATTTATTTTAATTATTGACTTTATAAAAATGATTTGTTTTAAATTATTTATTATGGTTTTGTTGATGAAATTTTATAGATTAACTTGAACGTGGGAGAATGGGATATTTCCATTTGATTAGAATGATGGGGTGTGGAACTTGTTTGAATGAGTGAGTTGATTTGACTAATTCCCATGGACGACAGGAAAGTTGACTTGGGAAAGGTAAGGAGTGCTGGCTGGCAGCAATTCCTTGCGAAGCCGTTTGTCTCTTTCTTTCCTATGTTTGGACTGACCGAGTCCCTATGACTTTTACGTCAATACCATAACAATTAATTAATCTTTCTCACATTAAAGTTTCTCCTTTTACTTTTCATATTTCAATTATTGAACAAAAGGAGAAGGAAGAAGCAGCAGCAGCAGAAGAAGAAAGATTTGATCGGACTTGAACTTGAAACAAGAGGAAAACAAGAGGAGAATAAGAACAACAAACACTCCACTAATTCTTGTTTGATTCCAATGGGAATTTGCTGGGCTTCTCCCCCTCACCACCCAACCCCCACTTCAACTCCAACAACCACCGGTAACCTTAGTAGCAGCACAGGTTTCTTCTTTGCCTTTTCGTCTCAATTCTTTTCATTTCTCTCCCGTCCATTTCATTTCACTTATTCTCTCTTTTATTATCACTATGTAGCTACTTTGGGGCAATCGCAGAGCAGCTATACTACCTCTTCTGGAAGTGGGAACAGCTCCATAAATAGCAAGTTCTCGGCGTCAAGCGGCGATGAGCCTTATCCGAATGGCCAGATCTTACCTACCTCTAACTTGAGGATCTTCACTTTTGCCGAGTTGAAGGCTGCGACTAGGAATTTCAGAGTTGATACTGTGCTCGGGGAGGGAGGTTTTGGAAAAGTCTACAAAGGTTGGCTTGAAGATAAGGCCGCACCAAAGAGTGGAAGCGGAACGGTCATTGCCGTCAAAAAGCTCAACTCCGAAAGCTTACAAGGACTGGAGGAGTGGCAGGTAATCCTACGCTGTTAATAGTTTCTCATACTCTAATGTAAATTATTTCAGCATTGCTAATGCAGATTGAGGGGCAAGAAAGATGGGAAAAGTAAATGATTTCAAATGGAGACTTTTATAATGTCACATAATTTCGCATCTTATGCAATATGTATTTGTTACTTAACGTAACTCACCCACCTACATGCAATACTGAAACACCCCCATTTCTTCCTCCCATGTCACCACCACATGGCTAGACTTGTTCATAGAATAGCAGTGGCAGTGCTGATTTGAGGGAGTTGTTGAATGTTGTAGAGGGAGTTTCATCATCTGTAAATTATGCAATTTATTTCTCGAATTGTAAAAGTGAGCATCCTAGGCATTGATTTATGGCCCCAGCTCCCTCTGCTTTCATTCTGTTACTCGTTTCATCAAACTGTTTAATCTTAGAGTTGTGGATTTGCTGTTAAACTAATGGTTCATTCATGTGGTGCAGTCAGAAGTAAATTTTCTAGGACGCCTCTCTCATCCTAATCTGGTTAAGCTGTTGGGATACTGTTTGGAGGAAACAGAGCTTCTTCTCGTCTATGAATTCATGCAAAAGGGCAGTTTGGAAAATCATCTATTTGGAAGTGAGTGCTCAGTTAAATATCAGTGTCTTGGAAAGTGTACAATTTAAAATGAAATAAAATAGCAAAATAAATCTATCTTTCCAACCAAAAGCTGCATTATTTTATCTTTAGGGGGCGCTGCTGTTCAACCACTTCCTTGGGACATCAGACTTAAGATTGCAATTGGAGCAGCTCGTGGCCTTGCATTCTTGCATATATCCGAGAAAGTAATTTACAGAGACTGTAAGGCTTCCAATATATTGCTTGATGGGGTGAGTTCTGCCACACCCACACATATCTTCTTAGCAAAATAAGCATACGGAATACGTTTTGCTGCTGCCATTTTATCATCATGTTATCACGGTGACAAAATGAATTTTTCTCTTATTTTCTATCATCATTATTAGAAATCATTTTAGTGTAACAATGTACTGTTGGGGTCTTAACTTATTTTCATTAAATTCTCGTTGTGCTGCAGTCCTATAATGCAAAGATATCAGACTTTGGCTTGGCAAAACTGGGTCCTTCAGCAAGTCAATCCCATGTGACAACAAGGGTGATGGGCACATACGGTTATGCAGCTCCTGAATACGTGGCCACAGGTAATCAATCTCGTGGAGTTCCAAGTTTAGTGCATATTTGGAAAAACTTGATTTTGATAGATTTGAATTATAAGCTATGTTATAAAGCTTGTGATTCAATTGTTTTGTCAGGTCCAAGTATTTTTCAGGCTGGAAATTTAATTTGATCATTAATGTAATGCACCTTGAAAATTTTGATTTAATATACAGGGCATCTATATGTGAAGAGTGACGTATATGGGTTTGGAGTTGTGTTGGTTGAGATACTAACAGGCCTAAGAGCACTTGATATCAACCGTCCAAGTGGGCAACATAATCTAACAGATTGGGTGAAACCACGCCTGCATGACAGAAGAAAATTGAAGAGCATTATGGATTCTCGGTTGGAAGGAAAATTTCCATCCAAAGCTGCATTTCGTATAGCTCAGGTTGCTTTAAAATGTCTTGCATCTGAGCCCAAACAGCGGCCATCAATGAAGGAAGTTTTGGAGAACTTGGAGCGAATTCAAGCTGCCAATGAGAAAACTGTGGAGCCCAAGTCCCGCTCTACTCATACCCCTCAAGTTCAGCGGGCTGTGCACCATCGTTCTTCTCTTCATCCAAAGCATGACGGTAGTTGGTCTTGAGAAAACTAATCCCACTCTATGAATGGCTGTGTTATTTGTCTCTCCATTCAAGACTTTCCCGGTTGTTCATTACTACGTATTTCTTGGACTCGAGAGATTTGTACCCGTATATCATATATTATTTTGCTAGTAGTGTAAAGTGTAAATGTTATCATATATAACTGTCTTCACTGAGTTGTGGTTTTGCTAAACAGATGGAGAGGTCTCTAGCTAGTTCATTACTATATATACGTACCTCCCTTTGTAGTCTGTATTGAGTTATTAGAATTTTGAATCCATAATTATCCATTTTGGATCTTAATCAAACTTATATTTGTGGCTGCTATCTCAGCCAAGCTGATGGATGATTACCATTCCTTTCCGATATAACGATACGTTTACCAATAACTCTTTATATGCTTTTGCATGTCTCATGCAAACAAAGATCCTAGTACTATCTTTATCCGAAATGAGTCACCAGACTTGTTTAGAAACAAGCATGCTGCTCCAGCAGAGCTACTTCAGTGTTGACAGATAATTATGTACCATTACATCCTTTACCTTTTCAATCATTTTTCTTTCCTTAACAGCAAACACACTGTAAATGTCTTGTATTTTTTATTTTAATTTTTAAATAAGTATAAATTTAGTTAATGTTGTAAATAAAATTTATCAGTTGTCATAAAAAGTAAAGGGACATTATTTTTTTAAAAAAGAAGCATTAATATTCCTAAGAAAATAATATCTAAATTAAACATGATATTGAAATATTTATAAAAATATTTAAAGAAAACAAAATATATTTTTAATATTTTCAATAAATAGGATTCTCATAAAACATAATTTTCAGAAAACACAATTCTTAGGAACTAAAGAAGTTTGGTACACAAAACATCACCTTAAATTATTCTTTCAAAATTAATTTATTATATTAGTAAAGGATACCTATCATTAAAGTATTCTTAAAGATTTTTTAATTGGATTAAAATAGATACAACAAAAAAATTAGACTAAAGCAATTTTAGGAAATTTAATTAGATCTAGATTGAATTATTAAATGAAATGTTTAAAATACTCATTAAAATTTTAACAAATGTATCAAATGAATGACACCGTCAAAACTTCTAAATAATTGTATACAAAAAAATAAATAATAATACTTAGGACATGTTTAGTGTTTATTTGTTTCTTTTTTTTAATAGACTTTTCCCTTTTTAAAAATACAAAATAATAAAAATTTGTTTGTCAATCGAGTTTTTAAAAAATATTATTCAAAATAATTTATCATTTTCAATTTTTAAAACCAAAAAATAAAAATAGCCTATAAATAGCATGCTTGATTTTTGTTTTAAAAATAAAATATAATACAAAGTTTTGGTTTAAGTTTTTTTATTATTTTACAAAAAAATTTAAAAAATAAACTAACGAACACATTTAATTTTTATATTCTTCTTAAAATATTTTCTTTCAAATTATTTAAAATATAATTTTTAAAAATTAAAAATAAAATAAAAAAATGAGCTCTTATTCTCGATCTTTGTTTTGATAAAAAGATTCAGAAAAATGTAGGAAAGTAATCTTTTATACATTTAGATATTTTATTTTATCTGAGTTAAAAAATAATATTTTTGTAATCTTTACCATTAATTTTCTCGCTTAAAATGGCAAGATGTTGGGTGAAAATATGAAATAATTTTTTATTCTGTTGAATTTTAAAATAATATAAAATATTAAAAAATTTCGTATTATATATTTTTATTAAAATATAAAGTTTATAATTATTACAAAATAATTTTTTTAACATAAATTACCTTTTGATACCCTCCTTTTTATTTATCTAAATAATTAAAAAATCATTTTTATTTATTTCTATTTATTTAAGCAACATGTTTTTTATTTATCACTTTCATGGGGTCCACCACGGTCGATACGGCATTGAATTTGAAGAAACTGCATCGTATTTGGCGTTGAGTTTTGAAGAGAAAGAGGGAAAGCAGCAACTAACCCAATATTCCTGCTATTGCGACTAAGTGAGTTAACTCGAACATGGGTATCATCTCCGTTGCTTTTCTATTACAGGCAAGAACATATTCAATCTCCTCTCTCTTACCTCTTTCTCGTTGATTATTTCATCGATCTGTTCGTTAACTTAAACTTGAACTACCATATATAGGTACTTCTACTCTCTTCGCCTTCAATCACCGCTTCCTCACAACATGAAACATATCGGTAAGGCTAAGGCTGCATTTCGAGACGATGATGATTCTTTCCAAACCACTAATTCGTATGTAATAATCGTTTCTCTTCTTTCTGTTCAGGGCCAAGCATTCTGAAGAATACTGCGCAATGTATGATATATGTGGTCAACGCAGTGATGGGAAAGTCCTCAATTGCCCATATGGTTCCCCTTCCGTGAAGGCAAGTCCTCTTTTACTTATTTTAGTAATACAGCGCGATCATGATCATTTTGTACCGAATTTAACTAGCATATGATGCTTTGCTTCTAACTCCAGCCTGATGATCTACTATCTGCTAAAATTCAAAGTTTGTGTCCCTCCATAACCGGGAATGTTTGTTGTACGGAGGATCAGTTTGACACACTCAGAGTACAGGTTCAACAGGCAAGTTGTAATTCTATATATCTTCCCGTCTTTTACTTTCCTTCATCCTTTATCAGCCTTTAACTAACATCTTCGTTTTATTTCAGTCTCTCATTTTATGTGGGTAGCTTATTTGTCTTGATTAGATGTGAAATTCGAGAGATGCATATGCTGAGTGATTTTGGGTTACATTATTTTGGTCTAAATTAAATGAGGTTTGGGGTGTGCTTGGGTTAGGCATTTCTGTGATATGATTTTGAGTTTAGAAGCTACTTTTTTCCAGCATTTGGTAAAAGCACTAAATTTTTCTTATTTTTTGTGGTGGGGACGGGGCTTGCTTTTATCGCAAAAAATGATCTAATATACAAAAGTAGTATAGAGTAGATGAGGGAGAATAAATACAGTTTATGTTGGACTATTGTAGGAATTTTCTCTTTTACTACTCTCTTTAATCATCTCATTGACATTACCTATTGACCTAATGATACGCCCATCAGTATTTTGTTTATTTCTTCTCATTATGCAATAACAGGAACATATTGCATCTTGCAGGCAGTACCAATTCTAGTGGGCTGTCCAGCATGCTTGAGGAACTTTCTTAATCTTTTTTGTGAACTTTCTTGCTCTCCTAATCAGAGTCTATTCATCAATGTGACTACTATTTCTGAGGTCAGGCTTTTTCTTTGCTGAACTTGTTTTGTGGTAACACTGTTACAGGAATGTTTTCAATGCTCCCAGTCTTGTATATCTTTTTAAAGTGATTTTTTTTGGGGGAGGGGGGGGGGGTGTTGAATTTAGCTTCATTGCAAATTATATGACAGTAGGTGCCCCCTCCACTGGTGGATGTTGAAATTGAAAAGTTATAACAGAAGAATAAAATAGTTGAATTAGGGCATCTATTGATGAAATCATAATTAAAAACTTCTAGTTCTTCTTGTTGGTAATTTGGGTGTGAATGTGCTATGAGGTCAGTGAACTTAAAACATTTCTTAGCTTAGCTTGGTATTGGTAAACTGCCTATTTTAGTTATCGTGCCTTAATCCTGTTCCATTGCTCCTATAACTAATCAACCTTTCCTCATTAAGAATGTTGAAAATAATGTAACAACTTAATGCTTTTTGTGTTGTTGCTTGCTTGTCAGTGTTAATATCTTTAGTGTAAGTTGTTTTATCCTTTGTGAAGGAAATCCATTGTTTGGACATGCACCCTGATTCAACTTGTTATGAAACATATTCATATCCCAATTTAATATGTAGACTTATTGGGGAATGATACTTAGGTCATAATTTCATAAATAACAAATCAGTTTCTTTTGTGATTAAGTGTTATAATTTGATATTGATCTTCTCATGTACATTTCAGGTTAAGGGTAATATGACTGTGGATGGAATTGATTATTACATAACTGAAACTTTTGGAGAAGGTCTATATAATTCATGTAAAGATGTAAAGTTTGGGACCATGAATACAAGGGCCATGGATTTTGTTGGGGCTGGAGCTAGCAATTATAAAGGTGATCCATTGTAACATGAGTGGATTTATTATATGAAATATATAAACTCTTTTATCAAGTGATCTTACCATTTCAATTATAATGATGAATCTTTGGTTTTGCATAACATAAAAGATAAAATTGGGAGCTAACTTAATGTTAGCTTTCTCCCCACATGGTATGTTAATAGTTCTGGAATAGACTGTAGACATACTGGTTTAGCCATGAAAAAAATACAAAAAATTCTAAGTAGCTGCAGAGTGCAGACATACTTTTTTTTTTTTTTTTAGTACAAAGTATTTGCTTCTGGCATAATGTTTGCATATCATTAGAATAGTTCTTTTCCACTTTATCTAATGTATTATACATGCTCTTCTTCTGCTAACTGGTTTTGTTTCTGATTATCATCTGCTAACAGGTTTAGCCGTGAAATAATACCAAAGATCCTATGTAGCTGCAGACATACTTTTTCTTGTTACTATTTTAGTACTAAGTGCTTGCTTCTGACATTATATTTTCATATCATTAGAATATTTATTTTCCCCTTTATCTGCATGTATTATACATGCTCTTCATCTGCTAACTGGTTTTGTTTCTGATTATCATTGCCAGAGTGGTTTGGGTTTCTTGGTGCAAAAGCTCCTCCTGGTTTTCCTGGTTCTCCTTATTCTATACAATTTAAAACAAGTGTTCCTGATTCATCTCCTATGGAGCTTATGAATGCATCTGTATATTTGTGTAATGACACTTCACTGGGCTGCTCTTGTGGTGATTGTCCTTCGTCTCCTGTTTGCTCAAGTGCAGAACCTTCTCCACCCAGAAAAGATCCATGCTCTGTTAGAATTGGATCTCTAAAGGTTGAAACAATAGAATTTGATTCTTTATGACTTTTTGAATGAATAAATTCAATTTCTTTTTTCTTTCTTAAAAGGAATGGCTTAGTGATTTAGTGGCACATTTGGTTGTCTACTGAAAAGCTGCCATTGACTTTTTGATACATGTTGTGAAGTTGGTTTTTATAATGATACGTACAGGTCGAATGTGTGGATTTTTCATTGGCCATCTTGTACATTGTATTGGTTATCGTGTTGTTTGGGTGGGTGTTGCTGCAAAAGACAAGACTAAGGAGAAGACTTGGCTCCAGTGTGGAGCCATTGTTGAATGATACGGTCAGTGAAGGAAG